TTAAGACTAGTTCTTAGGCCTCACTATCCTTAATATACTTTTGGAACCCCCTGCAGCCCCCCTCCAGGAGACACACACTTTGGGCTTTCACTCCATAATCTGTATTAATATTTGGACTCGATCTCAGACTTGACCTCAGATTTGACTTCGGACTTGACCTCGGACTCAGTCTCGGATTTAATCTTGGACTCAATCTCAAACTCTATCTCAGGCTTGATCTCGGACTCTATCTCGGACTCGGTCTTGAACTTGATCTCGGATCTCGGACTTGATCTCAAACTCAGTCTTGAACTCGATCCTAGAGTCGGCCTCAGACTCAATTTTGAACTCGGTCTCAAAATCGGTCTTAGACTTGATTTCAAACTCAGTCTCATCTGATAAACTCTTTATTATTTTAGTTGTGCTTTTGGAATCCTTTACACTTTGGGGAGTTGGTTCTTTACATAGTCATCCATTTACGAATTCTTAAATTTTCTTTTAATCCCCTTCCTCGGGTTAAATTGGACTTAAAGTGTAATTACACTTACTACAAATCAAGCATATCAAGCCTTTAATTTCTTATAACAAAATTTTCTCATAAAACTCTATAAATCCTAAGCCTTATGTATTTTTCTTGATTCGAAACCTCAAAAGGAAACACTATACCCTAATGACCCTTACTCTCCACTTCCTCCTCATGAGAAGGCCCAAGCCAAAAGAAGGGATAAAGACCAATGAGCCTTATAGTACTCAAGTGGGAGCTACTCTTTGAACACAATTTTGGTGGTTTTGGCCACAGTGATCCATTGAGTTCCAGGAGGAAGTGCTTGTTCTCGCAGCCTGCCACGCCTAAATGAAACAAGAAAATAAACTTTGAAATAAAGCATGAAATTACATACCTAAAGAAATTGCCTCATCAATCCTTAAGGGGCATCTCTTACACTCTTCGAGTCCATGCTCACTCCCACCCAAGGCAATGCATTAACCCTTAACTTAGTTTGCAAACACCATTGAAGAGTCTTTAACCTTACTTTCCCAACAATACTTTTGGAACCCCCTATAGCCCGACAGCTCCACCAAGCCCTAGTTTTTCGCAAGCAAGAGATTTTTGGAGCATAGAGAAGGAATTACAATCCATCAAAGTCAGTAAGGAAAGCTATTGAGTAACACTCTACAGTCAGAACCATGGAAACCATCGTTCATTGGTGCGTGGACACCAACTCCACTACCCTGGGGAGGAAGTCTAGACCACCAACACCAAGCAGGACTCATCAACCATCACCACCAACAATGATTTCAAGGTCTTCAACACCAACTAAGGAGAGAAGGCCAGCGTCGCACAACAATCTCAGGTATGTTCCTCCATTGTGGCTTGCTTGTATTGCTTGCTTTCACAATGGTACATACAAGACTTGGCATACACAACAACCACCAACAACCACCAACATTGATAAGTATGGCAGAGCAGCAGTTTAGCAGTGATTCAAGGTAAGCTTTAAAATCACTAATTGAGCATCATATCTGTATATCCGTGCTGCTTGATGTTGACTGGAGATTTGTCCGGTGCGCGCTTTTCTGCTGCTACTGAAGTTGAGCTTTGGCTATAAAACATAACACAGAATCTATGAAGAGAACAACTTTGATCTAATGCCCAACATCAAGCACAAATTCGAAGGTGCCAGCTTAAAAATTCAAGGAGAACAAAGTTTAAACTTATTTTCTGATTATCTTCTAGATTGGTTTTAATGGCAAATCTCTTTTTAGCCATTCTTTTGAAGAATAATTTTAAATTTATATAAACAAACCTCGCCTCAAAAAATGCATCCAGGGGTGCATTCTTCATACATCCATTTCTCAACCTTGCTCTGCCTATTTTCTTCTCTGTGTTCTAAGAATCGAAGAGCATCATCCTTCTCCATACCATATTTATAAATTAAAACAAAGCTACTGCTTGCTCGCAATGAAGACAGAGTCTTTCCACAGGCCTCCAGTGTGTCTGCATACCTGGAAAGCTCTATTTTGCCAAGAAAGTTTCTCATCTCAAAAGCTTTCTGCTTAAGCACAAGAGTGAATTCTTTGAAATGAGAGATTTCTGACACTCACCCTTTGCTGCTTGGTAAGGCCCAGCGCTTTCACATCTTTCCTGGTCATTGACTTGAGCGATTCAACGCTGTCCCATCCCTTCCTGACAAAGATCTTGGATGTTCCAGCAAGAACACCACTGCCGAGGTAATCATCTAGATTATCAGGGGCAGATCTATCCTTTGCTTCTGTGCCCTGCATTGTTGCTCGTCTTGTTGAGGAGAAAGAAGCTCTTTAAAATGTCCTGGTAGTCAAATAGAAAGTAGAATCAAAGTGACATTAATCCTCCTCATAAGCTTTAAAAGAAAAGGTCTCACCTCATCCCAACTTTGTCAAGATGATGTCGCAAACATTATGTGAATTGACGACAAATTGCTGCATGCCCTGCCCGTCAGCATGATACGTGACTTATAGTTTAAATAAAGGAGAATAGAGGGAAAGAGAGAAGAATGTTTGCATGACTAATGCTACCAAACAACGAGATCTCTCCATGCATTCATTCTCCAACTCCACGATCGCTCCCTACGTCCAGCTATTGGAGGGATCCTCTGAGATCTTCCTGAAAGAGGTTGTGATCATAGAGATTATTATAGAACAAGCCTGAATGCAGAAAGCTCAGATTCATCCGTGGTCCTTCACGGAGCACAGTACTGAAGAACAGCATAAGCAGAAGCACCAAGAAAAAAAAGAAAATGTAATTCTTCCAAGGCCATCCTAAAGAAAAATCGCTCTGATCCTGGATCCTGGGAATCGCTTGTGCCCTCGCCACTATATTCTAAGATTGTCATTCTGTTTTACTGTTACTGTGCTTCGACTAGCATAGAACCTAACCTATCTCCTTTCAACAATGTGACATAAACTTGACTCTCAGGAAAGGGTGGTAGGTAAAATGTCACACTAAAAAAATAACAGGATACAAAGTTGTGGACAAAAGAGTTCCTCACTTCTCTTAGATGAGTTCGTAAAGCAAAACTACTTAGAACACCCAACCTTTAGATCTTCAACGCTCTCCCCCCTGGAAAACTCCAGAACAAATTTAGTTCTTCCAACCCGCTTAATTCAGAAAATTTGTCAACGCAATTAAGTAAATGGCTTTCGAAAGGGTGGAGACCATCCACCTCCTTGCATCACTAAATACTATTTGGAAAATAGAGCTCCTAACATTTTCACTCAAACTTGTGAAATCTATGTAATCCACAATTCGCTTAGTAGATTACCAAGGACTTGTCCGTCTGTGCTCAGCACATTGTAGCTATGCACAACTATCTAGCTGTTTGAAAAAAACTCCTGGTAGAAAGTGGAAACTAGCTCACAAAGAAAATGACAACAATGATCTCCTTGATCACAAGTTCTCACAAGAGCTCATCAAAGAGGTTTCACAAACATTGCCCGATTCACTTGAACTAACGACAAATCCCCGATGGGCTGAATTGCCTGTCCACCAGCAACTGTTACTGGCTCCCGCGTGTGATCATCTAGAGCAGAGCTTACCAGTTAGATTGAGTGCCAGGAATTTGTATGATCAAACTTACCCAACAACGTGTTGAAGGACGAAGCTGGGGGTGTTGCCAGATGGTTCAGGCTCACGTAAGCGAGGAGAGTAAACGGAATTGCAAGCATGAAAAGCCCAGGAACCACAACAGCCCAATACCTGCGAGAGCTACAGTAAAACCAAAGGCACTAGCTTTGTGGTGTTTCCAAAGCTTACCTGTCGGGATAGTATGTTATTCCAAGATAATGAAGCCAAGGTTCGGGGAGATACGCCCAGATAACATACACTCCTGGATTCGTAGTTCGCCACTGTCAGCGATTCAGATTGAGAATCTAAAATATTCGCTCACCAAATGCGATTATGGTTGAGATCGCTCCCACGAATGCATAAACCTCTGCGGGCTTTGTTCCTTGACTCTTGCGTTTCTCGTGATCCTATAATCCAGGAGAAAAGAATAATGGAAAAGGTTGATCGATCGCTTGATATACCATTCACTTGTCGGCCTTCTCTCCGGGCCGTGGAACTTTCTTGTACTCGAAATTGTTGATGTCTACTTGCTGCTGGATTGCCTGCATTCCAGAAACAATTAAATCTTAAGCAAAGATCAAGAGCACGCGGTTAATCACCTTGAGCTCTTCCTCGAGTGTGGTGGGTTTCCTCTGCTTGAAGTTCTTGAGAATCCCCTCCTTGGAAAGGGCCTGCGTCACTTTTAGAAGCTCCCAATCCCTCTCGTCGCGCTCGTGGACGACCTCAGTTCTAGAATCCCAGAAAAATCAATTAAAGCGTAAAAAAGAATGCTTGTTACCTCCCAGCAACGATCTGAGCGATGCCAACGTAGCCAATGACGGACCCAGCTATGATCGGGAGGCCGAAAAGAAAGAACCGATTCGACCCACTCAGCCTCCGTCCCTTCTGGATCCCCCGCACAGTGGACATTTGCTCTAAGCAAACCCTAGCTGAAAAAAACTTGTAAAAATTGGGGGGATTTCTGAGAAGCCATATGCAATAAGGAAAAACAAGCTGTGAAAATGAAACTCTTAAGAACAATATTGATTACGATTGCAATATAGTGTCCGTCCATCCTAGATCTGCTTCAGTAGCATTGCAAATGCTATCACCATTGACTATGTGCCGGCTACCAATTTTTCTTGCAGGCGTTCCACACTGATATCCTTTTCCATCTCCAACCCCTGGTCCTTACAAGTTATCTCCAAATGCTTGATGAACTCCGAATATGACGACAGAACCAGCTTTCCACCGTTGCCAATTTCAAGCCATCGGGACAAAGAATGCCATTGTTTGTCATCACTATTACATATATCTCCAAACCATGACCTTTGTTAAGATTGACGAGACAATTCCTGCAAGCATAGAATCCACCTTGAAATCTTCTCCAATTTATGTCCAAACTTTCTCTAGGGAATGTCTCAAGCCCAAAATTATAATCTCCAAGAGCAAGATTCTCTTTTTTAACAAAGAACTCAGGTTCGTGGAATGTAAATAAAGAGCTACATTAGCTTGCAGACGTAGATAACTGAGACTAGTGTTAGAAATCTACCAACAGGGCTACGAGAAGAAAGAAGAAAATCTTCATGATTACTTGACAACTTCCTCCGGAATATCTTCCTCTTCCTCGTTCTTGAGCTCTTCATCTTCCATCTCTGCAAGCCAAGCAAAATGCAAAGAGTAAGAAAAAACTAGACGAGAAACGGAAATGGTACTTACTCTGGATTTCCTCGTCGGTGAGCTCCGGAGCGTCCTCTCCCTCGACAGCCGGAGCTTTGTCGTCGACTTCTGCCGCTGCTGCGTCGTCCTCCACAACAATCACTGGAATCGTTGCGTCTTTATCCGTCGTGGGATAGTAGTACTCGGATTGAGTGTCCTGGAAACACAAACAAGATGGAAAGAAAAGAGATGAAGATCAAGTTCTTATAACCAAAGAGAAAAAGTGAGCACCTGGTAAGAAGCCATTGGAACCGTCGTATAGAAGTGAAAAGCCCAAAGCCCCCTTTAAAAACGCACAAACTGTACCGAAACTCACTGAGAGTGAGACACGCTTCACTGGCAAACTTTCCATGCAATGGAAAAATATGCAGCTTGATTCATGGCAGTCTCCGATTGGTTACAAAGAAATAGAGGAGAAACCAAAATTTTTACCACGTACCTTTAAAGAGCGCTCGAGAAAGTTTTGATATTACAAGTCAGTATTGGTGGTGAAAGTCTTGACAAAACTCGCCAGTAGCTCCTTTCCTCCCAGCTCGTGAATCTTGGCCAGTGCACGCTTCTCGATCTGGCGAACTCGTTCTCTAGAGAGGTTGAAATGGTGGCTCAGCTCCTCCAAAGTTCTGTCCCTTCCATCGCCAATGCCATAGCGGAGTGTCAGGACTTCCTTCTCCCTGGGCTTCAGGAGATTGAGCACTTTGTCGAGCTGTTCCTTTAGTAGCGCCTTCTCGGCAACTAGAAGAGAGGACTCTACTTCCGGGTCCGGTAGGATTTCCTGTAGCAAAAACAAGAACAGAAAAGAAAAAAATTAACAATTTCTTAGTGTCGCAAGAATATGGTTTTGCTTACCAAAAGAGTGACGTTGTCGCAACCTGGTACATTGTCGTCCAATGACTTTGGATGTCTCATAAGATTGGCAGCCAGATGGACTTTTTGCGCAGTCGTTCCAAGGATCGTGGCCACTTCCTCGTTTGTTGGAAATGTACCACGTTCTTCGAAGATCCTGGCTCTCGTCTTTAAAACTCGAGTGTGCGTATCAAATAGATGCATCTGAAACACAATGTTTCTTTTAGATTTCAACTGTACTTCTCGAAGTGAACAGGAGCTTACAGGCACTTGGCACATTATGCTGCGTTTCACCGATGCCCTCCTTACGGATAGCTCAATCCACCAAAGTACGTACGTTGAAAGCCGGAAACCTCGAGATGTGTCGAACTTTTCAACACCGTGAAGTAAACCGTTGATCCCTTCCTGCAGTACAAAGCCAAGTTGATAAATGCATGAAGAAAAACTAGCTTAACAGAGAAACTTTAATACTTCACCTGTATAAGATCCTCTATCGTCGTCCCCTTCAACCCAAACTTTCGGGCCACTTTGATCACGAGCCCGAGATTTGAAGAGACCATGTTGGTCCTGCATCTTTTTGCATGTTTGAGCTTCCTCCGAAGCTCTTGAGGTTCTATTTTCAATGCCTCGGCCCATTCTCTGAATGTTGGTTCACGTCCAAGCTGCTCGCTCATGCTGGTAAACAAGGCTTCCATTTTTATATGCTCCTGAGATTAAAAAACAACGCACAAAACAGTAATTTAGCCAGCAAGCTCAGCATTTCATCATATATCTACAAAGAAAGTACCTTGAATTCCCACCTGAATACCATTGATTGCTTCCAGCTCCTCGGAAGCAGACATTCGAGTCCTCCTAGATATTTGTGGACAGTACCGGTCTCTGCCTACGACTTTTCTCGATCCGGCTGGAAAAAGTCCTTTGATCGTCTCCCCATCTCCGTCCTCCATCTCGTTCTTTCTCTTCTCTGCTGCCTGTACTCTTTTCATCATCCTTTGTTTGCGCCTCCTAGAGGTAACCGCTACTTCCACGTTGTACTTCCTCTCTAAGCTCTCCGTCTCTGTTGAAAGAAGTTCATTGGCTTGCAATGCAGTTTCTTCCGCTTCTTCTGTTGTCTCAATCCTCGCCACCTCTGGAAGTTGGATGCTCTGCTCGAGTCCCAAAGTTGATCCAGCAAGTGGTTCGTTCGCGAGTTCCATTTCGCCAGAATCATCAGCAATGGCCTCGGCAGCTTCTCGAGCTGCTAGAACCGCCGCCCTTGCAAGAGCCATGGCTTCCTCGGCCGCAGCAATAGTCGTTGCCTCGTCACTAGCCAACCAAGCCTCAGTCTCTGTAAAACTGGAAGTGGTGGTCACTGCTCTCACTTGTAAGGTGTCAGCCACCTTCCATCTTCGTTCTGGGCCTTCGTGATTCCTATGCGGCAAAGAACTCCCAGCTAAGAAAATAAACTTCTATGGCATCAGTAAACGACTTACCATGCTAGAACCGAGCTCCAAAGCCGTGGATTTGCATTGTGATGATCCAATTTTGCGAAGCATCCCCTCCTTCTGGAGCAAGGCTTTTGACGTCTCAACGAAGAAGTGCCTGGAAATTGGATAGAAACCACTCAGCGAGAGAATTCCCACTTCTTCCCACTTACTTGGAATGCCAGGCGATAGAACAGAGCTACATTCCAGCACTGCGCCGCCAGTCGCAGCTGCCAAGCCTGCTACCACTGCCATTGCCTCAATGCTACGACCTCGTTCTCATATTTCCAGATCCTAGTCCTCAAATTCGCCGCCATTGCCCGATTGCGGCCATGGCAGCGCTTCCAGTCCAAGAATTCGCTTACAAAATTATTTGTGCAGCGCCATCGCTCCCATTTCCTCGGCGACGAACTGCCATATCCACAAGATTTTCGTTAAACCCTAGCAGTCGTGGCAAAAGAACCACCATGTTAAACCTCAGCCGCTGGATGTCTCCAGCTCTCGACGGCCTGGATCCACATCTGGTTGAGTGGGCCAGATTCGCCCTGTTATCCAGACATATCTTAGCCTTCCAAAATACCATTCTCATATTTTGAAGATTAAGATTCTAACTGATTTTATCAAGCGGGGATAGCTCAGTTGGGAGAGCGTCAGACTGAAGATCTGAAGGTCGCGTGTTCGATCCACGCTCACCGCATTTCTTTTCTTCTCTGTTTTGCTAATAGAAACTTTTGACGTGTGAGGAATCTTTTGTCGACAACTTTGTTGATGTCATAGTATGGTACATTTGAATGTGATATTTTACTATCTCTTTGAATTCCGATGTTGCTAGAGAGACGCTAAGGTGACACCACCTGAATGACAATCTGACAAGATCACGAAGTTTCACGGATGGAACTTGTTTATGCTAGCATGGGGACTATAGAAGATCCACAGTGCCTTTATTCCATATGATCAAAGGCGTCACTCACTCGTCCTTGTGACGATTGACACATTCGTCACTGAGTGAAGCACATCGCAGGAATCCATTTATGTTGCCGATGCAATCGTTGAGATCCAGAGTGCTTGCGACATAGTCGCCATCGGTGTTCTTGCACTCGCCCTCCATCATGGTGCCCGACGTGAGATACTCAATCCCCCGGCAGTCCTCGAGCCCGTATGTGAACCTCTCCCCGCATTTGAGCTTCCCATCCTCGCCATAAGTGATGCACTTGGAGATATCAACGGCTGAATAGAACTTCCATCCCCTGTTGTTCATGCATTCGGCTTCGAGCACTGGCCCCTTGACGAAAATGTCTTTGCAGCTGTCTGCAAAACCTTCACAAGCCTGCGAAAGAGTTCCAAGATCAGAAAACTGGGATCGACAAGATCATCTCACTTGCCTTGGACGTAGAGGCAGTCAGTGCTGCCACAAGCAGAAACAAGAGGAGCATAGAATTGCCAAGAGGAGAGGAAGAGGAAGCCATGATACCAGAAGGCGAGATCGCCTCGGATAATATAGTACTAGACTAGCAGGTTCTGGGTTCGAAACCATTGTTCCCAAGTTTCATATCCACATCAATCTGCCAGCTACGATAACGCTAAACCCTAAACCCCAAAGAGAATATTTTCAAGTATAAGCATATCCAGTTCCATCAATTACTGACACTTTTTACACACATCGACACTTGTCACCAGTGCAATCGACACGCGGCTGCACCATGCCTCAAAACGGGCGAACTTGGAGCATTTGAGCGCGAAGAGAGAGAACGAACGGGTTAATCGATCGATCGAAGCAAGCATTTCCAACGTTCACAGCATTCACACAGCAACAATGGCGTTTAGGTCAGTTCTCGTCGCCTCGAAGAAGAATGCCCTCGGTCAGTTGCTCGTGAAGAAGGAGTTCCTGGCAACATCGTCTGTCCTGCTCAACAAGGAGGCGGGCACCGCCGAGTCCATGGCGCACAAGGTCGGGGACAAGGTCGAGAAAGCCGGGGAGAACCTCAAGGAGACGGCCAAAGATTCTAAGGAACCCGCCGAGAGCGGAATGCGCGAACAGGTCAGGAGCGCCGCGGAGAAGATTGGCGACGCCACCGCGAGCGCGGGCGACAAGATCGAGCACTCGATGGAGAGCGAAGGCGGCGGCGAGGAGAAATCCAAGCTCAACAAGAGAAATCTCGAGGACAAGCAAGTCCTCTCCAACTAAACCCTCTTGTTAAATTAGGGTTCTTTGTAATCCGGCCAAGTTTCGCCACGTGTTATATTCAAAGCTATCTTTTCTATAATAAAACCTCCAAATTACAAGAAAGTTTTTAAGTCGTCGGTGGTTACTGGCATATTTATTCAATGGGCACCTGTCCCATGGATTTGCCACATACGTGTCAAAAATCGAGGTGCCATGCGTCGGCACCTCAGGGCCTCTCGATTTGTATAAGAGCTGAAAGCTCCGCCCTCAGGAACTCATTCTATCTTCGATCGATATATCTGTCTTATCTAGATCTTTGGCTTTGTCTTGTTTTCTCGATCACAAGTTCTCTTCGCAGTTCTTTTGATTCTCACAGCGCTCATGGCCTCGATGATGGAGAAGATTGGCGAGAAGTTCGGCAAGAAGGACGACGAGCACAACAAATTGGGCGGGCAGACGCACGAGACGCACGGGCTGGGGCAGCAGACTCACGGGCAGGGCGCCGGCTATGGGCAGGACGCCGGCTACGGGCAACACGGGCAGGGCGTCGGCCACGGGCAGGGCGTCGGTCACAACCCGGGATCTACTCCCTATGGCGCCACCACTGGCACCACCGGCACTGGTCACAACCCGGGATCTACTCCCTATGGCGCCACCACTGGCACAAACCCGACTAGCGGGCACACCGCTACCGGGCAGCCCCAGAAGAAGGAGGGGCTTATGGACAAGATCAAGAAGAAGAAGAACCAGCACAAGGAGCGCAAGGAGGGCGACAAGAGCAGCAGCAGCAGCGAATCCGACTAGAGATGATAAAATTTCCACTACTATGAATAAGTTTCCACCTATGCTTTCTTCTTCAGATGCTGAAGAAAGAAGAGTAAAAAAAATGTAATGTTTTTCCTTTGTTTATAAAAAAAACCGTATACTTTATTGTAAAATGTGGAAAATGTGTTCCTCTCTCTTTTTAAAAGTAGGATATTCTGTTGTTTGAAACAAACTATTCCTCGGGATTTGATCGGCGCCGTTGCTACTGCTAGCGGCTGAGATTGGCTTCTTTGCCGTAGAGCAGGGTTAGGGTTTATCGGCGGCTGCTGGAGGAGAGGGGGAGGAGGCGAGCGCTATGGCGGAACAGGTATGCGTCGTCTGGATTGATCGCGCGCCGCATTGATCGAGTTTTTCGTTGTGTAGACCGAGCGCGCCTTTCTCAAGCAGCACAAGGTCTTTCCCCTGTGAGTGGATCTATTTTTTTTCTAGCTTCGCGTGTCGGTGCTGAGGGTCTTTGTGTGATTGATCAGAGGGAAGACGTCTGGGAAGAAGAAGAGGCCCGGCAAGGGCGGCAGTCGTTTCTGGAAGAACGTCGGGTTGGGCTTTAAGACTCCTCGCGAGGCGATCGAAGGTATAACTCTCGGATGCGTTTTTACTGGATCTGTGATCGATTTCATCGTCTGTGGCTAGGCACCTACATCGACAAGAAGTGCCCATTCACCAGCGACGTGTCCATCCGTGGCCGAATCCTCACTGGAACTGTGGCTACAACCAAGATGACCCGGAGCATTATCGTGAGGCGAGATTACTTGCACTATGTGAAGAAGTATCAGAGGTGAGTGTTAGGCCCAAGTTCTTCCAAGTTTCTTCTTTCGTCCTCGCGATTCTCTCGCGATTCTCATCCAAAAAATTCTTTTTTTTATTCAGGTATGAAAAGAGGCACTCAAACGTGGCAGCTCATGTGTCGCCGTGCTTTCGTGTCAAGGAAGGAGATAAAGTGATCCTCGGCCAGTGCAGGTTAGTCAAGATCGTAGCTATAGAATTGGATTGGAACAAAATTCTCTGTTCTCATTGATCGATCCATCTCTTGTTTGGCAGACCTCTTTCCAAGACGATCCGGTTCAATGTGCTCAAGGTGATCCCGCGAGGAGCCTCCGACGGTGGCGCGAAGAAGGTCTTCACGGCAGCTTAAGAGCTTTTTGTATGTTTCTTGAAAAACCAACGGCCGAGATTACTCTACGAGTGTTTGTTCGAAATCAATGCCTGCGATGCGTTCAAAGCTTGAGTCTTATGGGCTAGGGTTTTAGGAGCTCGGAGAGAATGTAGCGTCGCAATGGAGCTTCCGCGATCGCCTGGGGCAGCGTCGGCGCCTCTCTGGACGATCGCGGAAGAAGATGAGTTGCCAGAATCGGCCGCGCTTGTCAAAGATCGTCTTGTCTATGGCTCGGCAGGCTCGGATTTGCTGGAAGCGGTGTTGGATGATCGCAGGCAGGGAGATCGCGCTGAGAAATCTGGGATTTCGGCTCCAGATCGATGGTCCCCGGGGAGGAGGCTCAAGAAATCGCGCACGGCTCCAGCCATGACAAGCGATTACAGCAAGCGGTGCGGCGATGATGACAAGCCTAGGCTTGAATCGGCGGCACGCATCGCCAGGCAAGCGGCAGTAGGATTTTGCATCTACATTGCGATCGGCGTGCTGATCTACGTGTGGAGGCGCGATGAATTCTCGGGCACAAGGACTCACACGCTCGTCGACGCCCTGTATTTCAGCATCGTGACGATGTGCACGATCGGGTATGGGGACATCGCGCCGGTTTCGTCCACCACGAAGCTCTACTGCTGCGTTTTCGTGGTGATTGGTATGGGATTCATCGACGTTTTGCTCAGTGGAATGGTCGCTTACATCCTGGAGAGGCAAGAGGAGCTTCTCATGGGCGCTGTGGAGGGTGGCCGCCATCAAACTGCGAGGTGCGTCTTGGTTAACACGAGAGGTATGTTCTAGTTGGATCTCAAACACTTGCAAGGCTGAGAGTTTTTTCCTTTGTTCTTTCAAGGACGTATGAGGAAGCGAATGAAGGTGGTTCTAGCACTGGCGGTGGTGATCGGGTGTGTGACTTTGGGGACTTTGGCTGTGCACAAGCTGGAGAAACTTAGCTGGATGGACTCGTTCTACTTGTCGTGCATATCGGTGACGACGGTGGGATATGGCGACCACGCGTTCGAGAGCCTGGCGGGAAGGCTGTTTGCTTCGATGTGGCTGCTGATAAGCAGCTTGGCTGTCGCTCGGGCTTTTCTATTTCTCGCAGAAGCCAGGATTGCGAGGAGGAACAGGCTGATTGCCAAGTGGGTGCTTACGAGAGAAATGACGGTCGGTGATCTAGTTGCAGCGGATATTGACAACAATGGCTTTGTCAGGTATGTGCCATCCATTATCTACGTTTGCTAAAACACTGCCTTTTTTGTTCTTTCTTTGCAGCAAATCCGAGTTCGTGGTTTATAAGCTAAAAGAGCTCGGCAAGATTTCTCAAGACGATATAATGGAAGTCTGTCGCCAGTTCAATATTATGGACCGTGACAATTCTGGAAGAATCACGTTGTCCTGCCTCAGTGATGCAGTTTGAAGCCCATTTGCTAAGCCTTTCTTGTCGACAGCGCGTAAGTTTCTGCGGCTACGGTTTCGTACACGAACTAACCATACTTCTCTTTGCAGAAGTTTGCTGGCAATTTTTTATTCACTAGCGAATGAGTTATGCACTCTTTAGAGCAGTTTACAGGTCCGGCTAGTCAGTGTGACTGCTAGAAACAACGAGGGGCAAGTGGTGAGCACAGTGATTAGATTCCGTGAAACTGTGCAGCAAGGGATTTTAGCAGAAGGAAGGATTATCTTATCTACTCCGGGCACTAGTTGGACGTTTACGTGCGGACAAAGTTGAAGTATGCAAGGATGAGTTTACGGACGTTTTTAGCAGCACTTCTCTGCGGACGTTGAAAGAGCTGTTACACGCAAGCATGGTGGAGGCAAGAGCAGTGTCCAACAATATGTTCGACACTTTGGTACTGGGCTATGCGGTGACAATTAGTAGCGGACCTTTGTTTGCTGCACTTACGGCCTGTAAGAGGCACGGAAGAAGCAAGACTAGAGCGTGGACAAAGTCTGAAGAAGTGAAAGGGATGTGAAGCTGCAAAAGCCAATCGTTGTGCAACATCTTCGTGGGAAGCACTCAGCTGATATGTGTGGACGTATGGAGGACAGATTGCTCCGCGACAGAGTGGTCTCATAGAACGCTTTGCTGCTGGGATATGTGAGCAACGACCTGGCTTTGGATCTATTCCCGTATATCGAGTTCTACGAAGGCCGCACTCAGGGCTTGTGCAAGCGTGGCCAACTTAGAGCAGGCTTGTGAACTTGGGCACAGGGATGTATGACCGACGCTCGCAAAGTTTTGGAAGTTATGGTTACGCATGACGTGGATACTGGGCTACGTGGAGAATGAGCTCGCTCTGGAGCTTTTGAAACGGATGCAGTCAACTGGTTGCTCGAAGTCCACAACTTGATGCTGCTCTCATGGCCTGCGGAAAATTGGTGGATATGATGGTCGGAAGAACGGAGGTTCTTAGACGTGAACTTGAGAACAAGAAGACAGCCTGCCTGGTGAGCCATCAAGTTGTTTGCGTCGAACTCGCTAAGAAGTGATCCTCAAGCTTTTCGATGAGAAACTGAAAAGAGCTTTTCGACGAAATGGACGACTTTTTTCGGTTAGTGGGGTTTGCTTAGAGCAAATGTCCACTGTGCGGGGGATCCAGAAGTGACGGAGGCTGAGTGGGTCGAATCGGTTCTTTCTTTTTGGCCTCCCGATCATAGCTGGGTCCGTCATTGGCTACGTTGGCATCGCTCAGATCGTTGCTGGGAGGTAACAAGCATTTTTTTTTTTCACTTTAATTGATTTTCTGGGATTCTAGAACTGAGGTTGTCCACGAGCGCGACGAGAGGGATTGGGAGCTTCTCAAAGTGACGCAGGCCCTTTCCAAGGAGGGGATTCTCAAGAACTTCAAGCAGAGGAAACCCACCACACTCGAGGAAGAGCTCAAGGTGATTGCTCTTGATATGCGAGTAAGATGTAATTGTTTCTGTAATGCAGGCGATCCAGCAGCAAGTAGACATCAACAACTTCCGAGTACAAGAAAGTTCCACGGCCCGGAGAGAAAGCCGACAAGTGAATGGTATATCAAGCGATCGATCAACCTTTCCATTCAGTCTTTTTGCCTGGATAGGATCACGAGAAACGCAAGTGTCAAGGAACAAAGCTCACAGAGGTTTACGCAATTCGTGGGAGCGATCTCAACCATAGTCGCATTTGGTGAGTGAATATTTTGGATTCTCAATCTGAATCGCTGACAGTCGCGAACTACAAATCCAGGAGTGTATGTTATTTAGGCGTGTCTCCCCGAACCTTGGCTTCATTATCTTGGAATAACGTCCTATCCTGAGAAGTAACCTTTGGAAATCTACAAAGCTTTTTTATTGTTAGCTCACAGGTATTGGGCTGTTGTGGTCCCTAGGCTTTTTATGCTTGCAATTCCGTTTGTTCTTCTCACTTACGCGAGTTTGAACCATCTGGCAACACCCCCAGCTTCGTCCTTGAACACCTTGTTTGGTAAAAATTGGATCATACAATCTATCCTATTTTTTCTTATTGATAAGTGGCACATTCTAGATGATCACACGCGGGAGCCAGTAACAGTTGCTGGTGGACAGGCAATTCAGCCCATCGGGGATTTGCCATTAGTTCAAGTGAATCGGGCAATGTTTGTGAAACCTCTCGGATGAGGTCATGTGAAAACTTGTGATCAAGGAGGATCATTAAAGGAGTTTTTTTTAAAGAGCTAGATAGTATGGCACGCTTCTCCACAGCTACAAGATGGTGGTAATCTAAATAACTATCTTCAAGATCTTTTACTTTATATGACGAAGGATGTGAAATTGATTCTGTTCTATCCATGAGGATTGACATGTAGGCGCTGACGAGTGAAATATAGAGTGTAGGCAGTGAGAGTAGGTACAAGACTTTCCAAAAACAAGTATTATTATTAAGGAAAAAATGAGTTTACATATTTTGTGCTCAGTCTTTGAATTCTTTAAAGTACATAAGGACTTTGGCATTACTTTGGCACAATAAACTCCTCTAGAATGCTCCCAACACTAGAATGCTGTTCAATATATGATTCACATGGTTGGGCTGGTAAGTATTATTCTAAAAGCAGTTATTTATTTATTTTTTTCGGCTTTGGTGAGCTCGTCTCCAGAAATAGAAATCATATTTTGTATAGAGTTAAATTTAAAAATTTTAAACATCAGTTTTTCTAAGTACTTCTAGAAGAACTTGGACTATAATAACATTGTGGTCATTGCATCCAATCCAACCTACCCTCTCGCCCTACTCTCTTGGTCTAAGTGAGAAAAATGTAAAGGGTGTTTGACCAAAATCTAACCTCTTACATATTATAAATCTTACACACCCAAAGCTCTAGTCACTTGCAAATTTAACGATGTTGAGATTGATATGTTTTGCTACTTTACTCTCAGTTGTGTATTCTGGATATAACTTGAACTCCTCCAATTTTATCAAAGAGGCATCTACTATTTCTGAGTTAGAAGAGTATGATTACATTATCGTTGGAGGAGGAACTGCTGGATGTCCATTAGCAGCTACGCTTTCTGAGTATTTCAAGGTACTTGTTCTAGAACGTGGAGGTTCACCATATAGAAATCCAAATATTACACAACAATCAAATATTGCAAATGCCCCACGCCAAGACCCTGCATTTCAACAATTCACATCTGAGGACGGGGTTGCTAATCTTCGAGCAAATGTATTGGGTGGAGGGAGCAGTATAAATGGAGGGCTCTATTCTCGTGCAGAGTTGAGTTTTCTTCGCCAAGCAAAGCTAGATGAGACAACTGTGAATAAGTCATATGCATGGGTCGAAAAGGTTGTAGCATTTGAACCAACTTACAAAAATGCATTTCAATCTGCTACTCGTACTGCTCTTGTAACAGTTGGGGGTATAATTCCAGAGTATAATTTTACATATGATGATGTAATTGGAACTAAGACAGCAGGAATTACATTTGATCTTAATGGACACCGGCATCCATCCCCAGATTTGCTTTTTGAATATGCGAATCCTCACAACATTCTGGTTCTTTTACATGCAACTGTAGAAAGGATCATTATAAGAAATAAAGGTACTTTAAAAATTAGTTATTTAATGCTTTATATTTATATTCTGATTTAGGATCCGCAAAGTCAGCATTTGGAGTTATGTTTAAAGACAATATTGGTCAAACTCACACTGCAATATTAAATGAGAAAACTGGAGGTGAAGTAATAGTTTGTGCAGGTGCTCTTGGAAGTCCACAATTACTAATGCTAAGTGGAATTGGCCCAATAGAACATCTTAAACCCCTTGGTATGAACTTGGTACTGAATTCTCCTCAAGTTGGAAAAGAGATGAGAGATAATCCATCAGGAGTAATGGTATTACCATCTCCAATTCCACTTGGTAATTTTTGGAGTCCTCTTACTGTTGGAGTTGCAAGTGCTGGCTTTTTAGTGGAAACAATGGGACTTGGAACTTCAGGTCGGCTTTTAGTGAAAGTTAAAGGTCCACAATCTTTTGGAGAGCTGCTTCTCAAATCCAAAAATGCAAGTGAAACTCCATCTGTGAGGTTTAACTACTTTAAAAGCCCAGAGGATATACAAAGATGTGTTGCTGGAATAAACACCTTAGAGGAGATGGCTTTATCAAGTGTTTTTGCACCCTATCGATATGATAACCAAACGCTGCCATCAGGAGGTACTGTTTTATTGCCAAATCGACGGAATTCTTTGTTCCTAAAGAGCATCAACAGCACTATAGCTGATTATTGCAAGAAAAATATTGGAACATTTTATCATTATCATGGTGGCTGCCTGAAAGGGGAAGTTATCGATGATAACTACAAGGTTATTGGTACCAATAATTTACGAGTTGTAGATGGCTCTACGTTTAAATCCTCTCCAGGGACAAACCCTCAAGCTACAGTGATGATGTTAGGACGATATGTGGGAACTAAATTACTTCTGGAGAAAGAGAAAAAGAAAAAGAAATGTTAGACTCAATTAAATAATAAGATAATAAAACGAATTTTTCCGTCTTTGCCTTTATTTCTTCTTAGGTGTCGCAAATCGCTCCAGCAGTGGCGCCCCTAGAGCCTTCTCTTTTCACTGCATAAGTAAGGGATTCTAGCAGAGCAGGAGATGGAGAGTTCTGATGAGCCCGAAATTTTCTTCCCGTTTGATGACCAACCGAGACAAGCCGGCAGAGGCGAAGAAGAAATGCGGTGGTTTCTTTGACGATCCGGAAGATTATTCGCCGCAGAGAAAGGAGAGAGAAGCGAACGAATTTCTCTACCTCCTGCTCTTGGATCGTGAAAAATTCTATGCGTCAAAGGTTCGCGTGGTTCTCTTTAGCTGGCTCTTGACACCCTGGCTTGCGTGGCCGTACTCAGTGCTTCCAGGATCAAAAAGAAGAAGTCGTCGAGCTGACTCCTTCCTTGTTTTTCAATCACAGCTTTTTCCAGATGGATGCAAAAGAGTGGCATGTCCTTTCTAAGGAAGCAGCGGCTGCAAAAGAGTGATGGCTTTCCTCATACATCTCGCCAGACACTTGGAACGCGTTCTTACTATGGGCACACAACGTATCTCTCGACCTTCGAGGTTCTATAACGCGTCTTTCGATACAAAGGAATGAACCTTTGGCTTAAAACCAAGATCAATTATGTGCTGAGTTGAGATGGCCGAGTTGGTCCAAGGCGCCAGATTAAGGTTCTGGTCCGTAAGGGCGTGGGTTCGAATCCCACTCTCAACAGGTGAAATCGTTTTCTCGGTTGTAAGACAAATGGCGTTATTTTGGGATTTGATGGCGCTTGCCAAGTTGCCATCTTCAAGGTGGCGGTGATTTTTACCTTGACGTTCTACACGAATGGTGAAAACGTCACAGCGTGAAAGTTACCTCGCTAGGATCATCAGGTAACAGTGGCAAGGAATGGAAATGTTGGTGCTCGAAAAATTTGCAGCAATCAGCATGGGTTCAAGCATGGAGCATGACCTCCTGGTATACTCACTGCTGCAAGCCTGCCGGGTCTGGAGCAACGACGAGGACTGTGTCCTCCTCACCGCTTACAATGCCAGATGGGAGCATCACCCTCGACCACTTCACGTCTGCCTCTGGACCAAGTCGCGCATGGATGAAGCTCCCGCTCCCGCCCGGCTCCTTCTTTGACATCATCGCCTCCTCCGTAGGCCTGGTGCTCATCCGGCAGCCGTTGTGGCCCGACCGTGAGACTCCAGGGGTAGAGTTCACAGTGCGAAATCCAACCATCAGGAGATAGCCAGGCGAATAATCTACAGACCCGGGGACTGGGGAATTCAAGTTGCAATCATGCTTGCGGGTGCCGAGGTTTTCTTCGTCTAAGATCTTCGACAATCTTCCTCCGCAAAGGCAGGAGAGCGTGTCCGCCAAGCAGATGACTACGTCGGCAGCGGTGTTCTTGCTGGAACATCAGATCGAATCGCTCGAGACAATGACCAGCAAGGATGTGAGATCTTCTGGCTTCACCAAGAGTGAGTTCACAAATCTCCTGATCAATTATATCTAAAGATGTGAACAATTTGTTCTCCTATGCAGAATGCCTTCGAGGTTTGAAACTTTCTTGGCAGGCTGGAACTTTTGGAGTACGCAGACTCTCTGGAGGCCTCTGGGAGAACTCTGACTTCGTTGCCAAGAATGAGTTCTTCTTTCTTGACAAGTACGGCATGAAGAAGAGTCACGCTTCTCGCTTCCTGGAACACAAAGAAGAAAACAAGCAGCACAAACTTCGACAATGTTGGTGTTATGGTATGGTCAAATACTTGGTGCGATATCACATTTCTTAGATCCAAACCCGAACCTTTGGTTGACGCAGAGTTTTCCGCAATCCTAGAGTGAAAGCGGCACCTCTTCTCCTTCGTCACCCTCTTTGTCTTTGTCACTGCCAATTCGCTATAAGAACCACCTCGCTTTCGTTTCATGGTGGTGGTCGATCCACCACCATTTGTTGTCATTGTCATCCAAGATAATGGAAGACTTACTGTCAGACGATAGGTTTCCACTCACCTTTCTCTTCGCTTGTCTCTCTTGGTCATCAAACTGGAAGGTCTTTCATCCAGTCCGGCTCATCAGAATCCTTGTCGGCCTCTCCTCCTCCTCTACTAGAATCACGAGACAGCCACAAATCGCTTCCTGAAGGATGTGAAATCTCCTTATAAAGCAGCTCTACAGAGAAGAGGTATTAATTCCTAGAAAATATAGAAGATTTCAAGCTGGCGAAGCATACTTTGTATCCAGGTGTCCCATGCCACCTTTTACGACAGCAGTAACATCCACAACTTCATCAGTTCTAAACGCTTGCTCAGTCTTGCATCATGACTTAGCGTCTTTCACTAGGTTATCACCTTGGACAGATAGAATTGAACATTCTGGGCAAATGTGTATGTAAATCTTGTATTTTTTATTTTGGACTTTCCTGATGTCACTTTTAATTTTTATCTTGATGAGATCTCTCACCAGCGTAAAGTTAGTAATGCTGGCTACAAATCCTTGAAATTTTCTTCACAGATGCAAGATGGAGTTGTCTGTGATAATCTAGGTTATCTTGTGTTTTCGCTGGAACGAAGCAGCAAAGGTCAAATATCTAAAGCTCTTTACTCTGCTTAAAAAGCAAAAGAGTAAAGGGGTGCAAGCTTGCTTAGGACGTATTCTTTCTCTCTCTTTGATCTGCTTGTGATCAGCTGTGAATGGTGAACTACCCTTCCCACTCAGCTGAACCAGATGGTGAGCGCACTCCCTATGTCCTCTTGCTTTCAGTTCTATGCGCATATAGTTCAAGTGCCAGCCAACGATTCTCAGGTATTGATGGATTAAAATACGATAACATGTACCAATGATTTTGCAAGAACCGCATCAAGAAAAATGAATCGACAACAACATTTCAAAACATGTCCAGGCCTCGTTTTTCCTGGTTGGCAACCGAACTTACGACTGTAAGCAATAGCATGACACTCATCTTGTTTGTACATAGATTAATAGCATTGAAAAGTTTAAATGATACAAGTTTTCAAGCTGGCAAAGCATACTTTGTAGAGAAGAACGTTGTTAAGGCCATAGTTGTAAGTGCTGATGGTCGTGCTGGTGGCGTTTCCAGCAGCATCGCGAAAAATTCCCGTGCCACCTTTCACAACAGCAGTAACATCCACAACTCCATTAGTTCTAAACCCCTGGAAGTTAAAGTAGGCTCCGTCCAAATCATAAAACTTGAACTGACCCTTGCGAAAAGAGATCGATCCGTCTGACGCCGTGGAAACAAGCACTGCAAGTAGGACCCCAACTTGTCTCGAGCTGTACTCAGGTCCTTCAGTGAGTTTTGTCGAGAAAAGCAGGGGATAGCCAAAGGGATATGGAGGAAGGCGTTTGCATCCACTCCCTGGGATGCTCACAAGGTTTGATACCTGAGAATCGTTAGCTGGAACTCGAATTATATGCGCATAGAACACAAAGCAAGAGCATTTAGAATCTTCCCCACAGGCAGATCCAAGAGCTAGAAACAGCACAACCAAGATGAGTGTCATGTTATTATTGCCTCCCCAAAGCTTGATGAATTTGTGCTAAAGAAGCAAGTTCGGTTGCCAACCAACGTTGAAAAAAGTTGAAATGTTACTGTTGATTCTTTTTTATTGATGGATATATTTAGAATATACTTAATTATTTTAGAATATCTACCATCTAACGGTTGTTATTCATTTAGATTAATTTTGTATTTATAATTTATAAACATGTTTATAATAAACTTTCTTAAACCCTTTCTAGTATGTTCATTTTTATTCTATCATATAATGGTTGATATGCAATAAGATTAATCTTGTGTTTATAAATTACAAACATGCTTATAATTATAAACTTTATTTGGTTAATTGAATTAATAAGTAATAATAAAAGTAATATTAAGCAAACAATTTGTTTTAATTATTATTATTAGTATTATGTAATATAATACTATTACCTTCGTGACAAAAACAAAAGGTTCAGGGTTTAAGAAGGAAAGAAAAGGGATATCACATTTTTGTTTGGAGCCCTAACCCGTGTAGGGTTTTTTCCTCAGCTGAGTTCTCTCGCCTCCGGGCATGGCGGCCGATCTCAACGCCGTCTATACGCTCCTCCAGAAGGCGCTGAGCCCGGAAGAATCCATGCGCAAGTCGGCCGAGGCAAATCTCACGGCGCTTGAGAGTCTGCCGGGTTTTTGCTCGTGCCTGCTGGTATGTAAATAAATCCCTTCGATACCTTCCCTCTCCAGGGCTCTCATGGAAATTTCGCCTCCAGGAGATCATAGCGACGCGAGACTTGGACGATCAGAGCGATGCGCGATGGCTGGCTTCGGTTTATTTCAAGAACAGCATCAATCGTTACTGGAGACATAGACGCGATGCGCCGTAAGTGGTTTGCGCAATGCGTCTTGGTTATTCTTCTTACGGAATTCTTTTTCCAGTGGGATTCCCGACGTAGAGAAACCATATCTACGTACGAAGCTCCTTGGCTTGATAAGGGAGGAGAATCAAAAGGCATGTCCTTGATAGTTTCTTTCTCACAAGCCATTTTTTGTTGACATTCTTTGGTGGATGCACAGGTTGCTGTTCAGCTCGCTGTGTTGATCGCAAAGATTGCTCGGATCGACTATCCTCGCGAATGGTATCTCGTAGAGCATTGGCCAAGTTTCACGCATTTTGGTTGCTGGCTGCATTGTCACTAGAGAAAGCGTTTCCAGGCTTGGTTTCATCTGTGGCTCATGGTTTGCAGGCAAGACTTGTTTCCAAATCTGCTACAGAACCTCCAGTCCTCGGACGTGCTTACTACTCTGAGAGTGTATATGGTTCTTTACCAGATATTGAAGGAGCTTTCTACAATGCGTCTCGCAGCACACCAACAGAACTTTCACACGGTATTAGCTCGTCCAGCAATTGACGCTGAATGCACCTATTTTAATAGCTTCTTGCAGATCACGTCTCAACTATTCGACTTCACTTGGCAGCACTGGTGTGCTGATACTCAGGCTATCGTTAATGAGTTTTCGGCCTTCCTTTCGAGTTCAGATAGATTTGTGTCGTCCACACAAACGTTGCCAATGATCCTCGAGAGATGGTTACTATGCGTAAAAGTTCTCGGTCGTATGCTAGTATTTGGTTTTCCTAGCGATTTGAACTCTGTACAGGTATGATTGTTCCTGCAGGTGATATTACTAGTCTGATGTTTTATTTTATTCATTCATGATAGGAAGTCCCACCCGTTAAGCAGGTTTGTCCAGCTATCTTACAAACGATTAAGTCGTTCCTACAGTACAGTAAGATATACTTCAATGTGCAGGGTATACACTCACTCACCATTGTAACTTGCAGGAGCGGCATTTCCTGGCACACATCAATTGCATTCTTTTATGGAGAAGGCACTATTAAAACTTATGAAAGTTCTGGTTACGGTTCAAAATCATCATCCATTCTCGTTCAGCAGCGAGCTTGTTCTTCCTCCAGTCCTCAACTTCGCCTGCGACCAGATAACGGAGCAGAAGTGGGACACTGATTTGTTCGAGCCTTTCTTAATGCGATGCATGCATTGCGTTCAACAAGTATTGCAATGTAAAGCGTATAGGCCAAGTAAAACAGGGCGAGTTCTTGGTGAGATCTCTTTAACAAGAGACGAGACCAAAGCCAAGCTAGCTAGACAGGCTGAACAGCTACTGAGCTCGTTACTGGACAAGAAACGCGTGTTGCTGCTATGTGAGACGCTCTTGAGAAGGTTTGCTCTAGAAACACAGCTTCAGTATTCTGACCGTATGCTCTCTATAACCCAGGTACCTTGTCTATACGTCCAAAGATTTGGAAGACTGGGCACAGGATCCAGAAGGATTTCATCACGAGCAATCTCTAGTGCAATATCATGACAAACTTCGACCCTGTGCGGAGGCGCTCTACATTGGATTATTTGAAAATCATCGTGAGGTAGGCTGGCGACGTAAATAGGTACTATGTTCTTGTCGGATCATGTTTTTTGTTACAGGTTCTTACACCTTATGTTGTTGAAGTGCTTCAACAAGTATCACAAGATTGCCCGCCACCAGAACCAGATGCAATTGTGCAGTTAAGCCCGGCTTTGCTTACTAAAGAAGCTGTTTATGCTGGGATTGGTCTTGCATATTATGACCTCCATGACTACATTGACTTCAAGCTTTGGTATGGTCTTTTGTAACTCACGATTTCAGTATAACCGCAAAAGACTCTGTTTAATCAGGTACGAAGGGGCTTTGGTCAAGGAGTTGAGGAATCTTCATCCCAACAACCGATTACTTCGCAGAAGAATAGCTTGGCTTGTCGGGCAATGGGTCAGTAAGGTATGTAATGGTTGAAATCCTCGGATTCCTAGCTGACTTTAAGATTCCTCAGATCGATAAGGATTTGAGGAGGCCGATTTACGTTTCGCTTTTAAGATTACTTGGCGATGGTGATCTTGCTGTCCAGGTATGTATTCGGCTTGTTTAGTACATACTTGTAAGACCACCCGTGCAGCTAGCTGCTTGCCATTCCTTGCAAACTCTGATTGATGATGTCCACTTCTATGAAGAAGAGTTTGTGGAGTTCGTTTCTCCATGCTTGGAGCTTCTTTTCGTGTTTATGAAAAATGCTCAGGAGCTGGACTCGAAGGTTAGTGTTCTTTATTTCTATATTGTCGTTACTTCTTTTGCGTTGTGCAGCTGCAAGTATTCAGCTTGGTCACGCTTATCATTGAACGCCTTGGGGAGAAAGTCGTGCCATGCACGGAGAAGATTATGATATTTCTACCTCAAGTACGAGAATTTTCTCTTCTTTTGTTTTTAATGGATTTTTTTTTTCGGTGCAGGTTTGGCAGAACTCTGAGGGACAAAGTCTCTTGAAGATTCAAGTGGTTTTGGCCTTGCAACGGCTTGTTGCAGCCCTCGGTTCACAGTCACCGTGCTGCTATACTCTACTCGTTCCCATCCTACAGCATGTGACTGACGTCAATCAGCCTGATGAGCTCAACATACTAGAAGATGGCTTGCAGGTAGCCAGTTTCTATTAACTTGAATTTATCGCTAATTTCGTCTATAGCTGTGGAGCACAACTCTTAGACATGCTCCAGTTATGATCCCTGAGCTCCTGGTTTTCTTCCCTCACCTGGTGTCCGCATTGGAAAGAAGCATCGACCATTTAGAGGTACTTGCAACAAAAAAAAATTGTTTTCTTTTTCATTGGTATAAATGTTTGGCGCAGGTCTCTATGGGGATCGTTGAAAGCTACGTTCTTCTCGGTGGCGCAGAATTTCTAAGTCGTCATGGTGCTGGTGTAGCCAGCATCTTCAAGATGGTGATTGGTCATGTTAAAGAAAAAGGAACAATTCGCGCGTTATCGGTTCTAGATACGCTGATTCAGGTACTTTACACCTCATTTTGGATCGCGCTGCCCTTACTACGTGTTTCTCTCGTGCAGTGTTTTCCTGTGGATGCACCGCCGCTGTTGGAAGAGACCTTGCAGGTAGAGTGTGAGATCAGAATCGGGCTTTGGAGTAACGCTCTTTTGTTTGTGTCGGCAGTCGCTCTTCGTGATTGTGATTAATGGCCGGGATGAAAGTGATGCTGTGAGGGCAATGGCGGGAGCTATTTTGGCACGAGTTCTCGTTCAAAACAGTAATTTTTTTGCACATTTGAGTGAGCAGCCATCTCTGTCGCTCAAGTTGCAACAATCAGGAGTGTCTCTCAGCGCAAGTCCGGTGGTGCTATTTTTCGATTCCTGGCTAGAAAAGGTCGATGTCTGGGGTGACTTTAAATTTCCATAGCCTCATGACTCGTATGGCAGGTCGATTCCTTGACAACTGCGTCAAAACGAAAGGTGTGCGGGCTTGCGCTTTGCATTTGGTTGACGTCCCGGGAGCCGCTTATACTCGACAGACTGGAGCAAATATTGGGGTGAGGTTTCTGGCTTTGTATTCTCTCTGTGTTTATGGGATTGTTTCCAGAGTGTGCACAAGCATTCTCGAAGATGAGAAGAGCGGAGTTGCAACAGGCAGGTCAGGATATCTTTGCGTGCGTTGTTTTGTCCACTCACCGCCATCTCCTTCCTACAGTGGTGATTACAACTGGCAAAACACAGAAGACGGGAGCGAGTCTTTCAGGAAGCAACAGGTGTGGTTGTGGTTTCCATTCTCTAACTCATTGTAACTTGTGATGAAATTCCTTCCAGATTATCAACTCGGATCCTGTGAACAATCTCTCGCTCGCTCCCTTGCTCAAGGAGCAGCTGCGGACTTGTGCCAGCCTCCACGGCGAGGCGGCATTCAACGTTGCTCTGTCGAGATTACACCCCAGGCTGATCACGCAACTACAGCAGCTATGACGGCGATCTCAAATCTCTGGGTGCTCGGTTCTCAAGGACACGCTGTAAAAAAATGCGAGCTAGGTGACAAGTTTTTTTTCTCGGGTTTCAAGTAAGTCCATCGTCTATGTACTTCGCTTACCTTTGTGTGCAGGATTTTACTGAGCAAGGCGGGGGGGTAAAAATAAGCCATAAAAAGAAAAAACGAATTTTGTGTCGCGTGTTTCGTGTGATGGTCCAAAATGGGATCATAATAATCGTGTAAAAAAATTCAAATTTGTTTTGTTTTAAATATCTAACTTTGTGTATAAATTTATAAACGCTGATTACTTTAGATTAAACTCAGTTTTAATAGCGAAAAGTCACTTTTTTAAGAGAAGAAGGTAGAACAGATCATACCACGCGCCCTTTCCTTGCCAAGCAGTCCGACTTTCTCGAGCGTGGCATCCAAGAGCTTGATATCCTTGTCTTTAACTTGGAAATTTGCAATGGGCACCACTTCATAGCCCGATATGTGCTGTCCACACCTCTCGACACATATGTAGATGTGATTTTCCCAATCGTTCCCGGAGCAACAGTCCACCGAGTCCAACACTTCAAAGCTCTTGCCCAGGTAAAAAGCCACAGCCTCTGTGAAACCCATTTGGCCCACAGCCTCATCAAACGACAGATCTTTCTTCGCTTTCTTCTTGCCGCTGGAATCCTCTCTTTTGGGATACTTCTGCCTCAGTGCTTCTTCCACCACGTCCCTTGAAAAGGTGCAGCCGTAAAACACAAACCCGCTCGCATCAACACCCATGATGGAACCTAAGAGAGAAAAAAAAAGGAACTTGGATACCTTAAATAAGAGCGAGTAGTACCTCTTAAGCTTGTGACAAAACTATTGGTTTCATCTGTGATTGTGCTTGAAGAACCGATGCAAAAGCCTGTGAGCCTCTCCAAATCCTCCTCTCACCACCACAAGGTGCTCTTTGATCCATTCCGGGAGCTTTGCTGCCGGCCCTCCCGTGGTTACGTAGCGTCCATCCAGCAAAAGTATGGCAGCGTAGTCTTTTGCATGCCTGATTGCTCGTCCTGTTTGTCACGCTCATTAGATCCCGCGAGAGGGAGTAGCGAGACGTCTTACCAATGGATTGGTTCACGGCCTTGATGCACAGGTTTTCGTAGTAGTCCCTGCCTCTGTGGCCACACTGCTGGAGCGTGAAGCCTGTTCGCTGCTGAGACGGGGGCGAAGAGGATTCTTTCCTGTTCTTGGTGTTGTTTAGCTCGTCGATGTACTTGATCTTCTCGAGGAGTTCCGGATCTCTTGAGCTTGGATACGGTAGCCCGACCATCACCACGCACCGTCCCATTCCATCGCTGAAGTTGATGCCTTCGGACATCTTGCCACCCACGACTGACAGTAGCAAAGCACCACCACCTGTTGTTATGCTTGTCTTGTATTCCTGTAAAACTGCCTCCACTGCGGACGCGTTTCGTGGCTCCCGGAAGATATTTTTCTTTTTGAGAATCGAGGAGAGGATGCCGCTCTTGTCCCAGCACTTGTGTACTTGAGACTCGTACTCGAACGACGGGAAGAAAACAACGATTCCTTCGGGTACAATGACGGATATGTTTATCAATAGGCGTCCGAGCTCTTCAATCTGGAAGAAAGGTGTTGAGATGAAAGCAAAACGAGAGTAAGCAAAGGAGAGAAGTAACCATTTGTGGCGAGCTGCGAGACTGGTACGTGAAATCGAATGTCTTTCCTGACGGACCTTTAGCTATCGCCAAGGGCAGGATACTTTCTCCGGGAACAATATGTCCACACGAAAAGAAGTGCAAGCTTTCGTCTGGCACTTGAAAGAGCAAACGATCACGCAACTCGGCAACGGGTTGAAGAGTTCCTCCGGCCAGAATAACTGTTCGTGCCTGCTGGACAACCTGAAACAAGCACTTAAGCTAAGAAGATTGAGATGTAGACGTACCTCAGAGAAATGTTTTGCTGCATCCAGCATAAGAAACTTAAACATGCACTCCCCATCCGAGCTTTCAACGATCAAAACGCGGCCATCACTTTGAGCCGTCGTCAGTGACACTAAGAAAGCAGCAAGAGGATGAAACCCGGCTGTGCTACTGGGCGTAAGCTCGTTTTGTTGCGAGAGATACTTGTCTCCATAGCCACTCACCTGAGACGAGAGAAACAGATTAAAATGGACACATCGCGAAACAACAACATAAAAAAAGCACCTTGTTGACGATGTTGCTCTCTTTGATATACCGACATAGCTTGAATAGATTGATGTTGTCAATCCCAAGGGAGAACACAAAGTCATTGATCGTTGTGATCGCTGCTGGAGTTTGAACATCTTGCACCCCTGGTTCTTTCTCTCGAGACCCGACTGACATTAAGCGTTCAAGGAGAGCCTGAACGAGGACAAGCAGCGTCTGAATATAGCGACGATTTGCGGGTGCCAGTCGAGTTCTAAACCTTGAGAGATACTCTGATAGCTGCGAGCTGACTTGCCTAAGCTGCACACCACGACCATTTTCTTAGCAGGCTCCACAAGAAGTAATCCAGCATTTTCCGATATAGAACCTGGAGTGTCGAGAGTTGAGAGCTGTAGGTGTTCGTGACGGTGTCTACCAGGTTGTGTGCCTCGTCGAAGATGACCACCGAGTCCTTCAAGTTGATTCCCAGTGACTCGCGAGTGGCAGCGTGAAGGAGGGACTGATACGGTAGCACCACGACTTGAGCCATCGGAAGTGAATTCCGAGAGCCATAATAGGGACAGCTTCCAAGCTTCTGGCCGAGATGCACCAAGTCTTCAATGTCCATAGGCTGGGAAGCCACCACTGCTTCCTTGAATTGCTTTCGCTGACGCTGCTTCTTAAGAAAAGGACATGCCGAGGTTTTCGACTTGATCATTCTTTGGTCATCCACCTGAAAGAAGTTGTGATGAGAAACAAAGGAAGGAGAGTTCCGTGTAGATACCTTTTGGCTCGACGACTTCTTTTTCTTTTGAAGATCTAGGCAGCGGTCATTGATCCTGGAAGCACTCCCTAGCTTGAGTACGTCTACGCAAGCCAGCCCCACGTCAAGAGCCAGCTAAAGAGAACCAGCCAAACCTTGGTTGACGCACAGAGTTTTTCGCGATCCGAGAGCGACGGTCTTCAAGGAGGTAGAAAAACTCGTTCGTTTCAGCTCTCTGATAAACTGGGAGAGCTGCGAGTGTGTCCGGCTGCAAAAGAAGATTTTAAGCGGCACCGCTTCTACTTCGTCACCCTCTTCGTCTTCGTCACTGTCACTAGAATCGCTATAAGCACCACCTGGCTTTCGTTTCATGGTGGTGATACCACCACCGTCACTGCTGTAGTCTTCCAGCAAAAACTCCTCATCGTCTTCGTCTTCCACAGCAGCCTGTAAAGATTTCGATTTCCTGTGTGAATCTCTCTGCCTTCTCTGCGGGGAAGAATCGTCCGGAGTGCCAAAGAAATCACCGCATTTCTTCTTCACCACTTTTGCCTTCGTGTCTACCGGCTTGTCTCGCTTTGTTGAGAATTCTTTCATCCACTCCGGCTCATCAGAATCCTTGTCATCTCCTCCTCTGCTTGAATCACTACCTCTATCCTCCAGCCACTGGAGCACGCTGCAAATGAGGCTCAGAGTCTTCCCAGTCCCTGCGGCAAGAGACCTCTCCTCGCATTCGTTCCCCAAGCAGCAAAAGGAAGCCATTACCTGTAGGACTCTCGACGATCGCGACGCCGCCTTTCTCCAATGCGCCATAGACCGCTCGCATCAGCTGGAGCTGGATCGCGTATGGCTGGAAGGGGAATGCCGGGAATTCTTCCCTCGCCATGGGAGCAAAAACCCTAGTTGGGTTTAAGAAAAAAAAGTTGACTTGACTGCAACGATTGACCCCATTTCATTTTCTGGATCATGAGTCGGAGAATATTCCTTCTTGGATAAACCCTAAAAATAGTCAAATGGTTGACTGGCCCTCGTTGACTTAACTCCGTTCGCTTAAACCATGTCTAATGAGGCATTTTTTTGTTTCTTGCAAGGCACTACCACAAAGACAAGAGATACGTCAAGAGCAGAGAAAAAGAGAAGAAAGAGAAGAAAGAACAAGGATTACCTTCCAGCTCGAAGAACTTTAAAACTGGCTTCTGCCGTGAGGTCCACTATTGTCGATCCCGCTCGGCCAGCCGAGAGCTCCCCGGCATCGAAAACCGCGGCGCACTGGGGCCACAAGTGCTCGAATTCCTCCACGCAGATGCTGCTGGGCTTGCTGCTCGTGTTGGCGCTGGTGAGAGCGAGCGCTCCGTCGAAAGCTCTCGCAACCGAGCGTATGAAATCGCTGTCTGGAATCCGGATGCCAATGCTCAGCAATCCAGGATTCAGCGATTTCTCAAGCTCGCTCTTGTCACCTGTGATCAAAATCTATAAGTTTCTATCATCTCTCGCGCTAAAAGAGAGAGTTTGCTCTCGCCCACCTCGATTCAAGACGAGAGTCACGGGCCCCGGGAGCAAATCGTGCAGGAGAGCGTCTGGAAGATGATCGATTCGAGCGTATCTCTTCAAGTCGGGGACGTCGGCCACGCACACGGCCAGGGGACTGCCGGCATTGCGGCCCTTAATCTCGTAAATCCTCTCCAGGGCCACTCTAGAGCTGGAATTCGAGATGAAGAAAATGGAGGGAAATTCTTTACGAGAGAGAGGATTAGTTACCACGCATCCGCCGCCAGGCCATAGAGTGTATCGGTTGGGACGGAGATGACATCGCCATGGCGGAGCGCAGCTATGGCGTGCCTCACATTCTCCTGGGTCGCCGCCCAAATCTTCTCCGACACAAAGCTCCCCATTCACAACACACGTAAGCCCTAAAATTTCTAAAATGGGTTTAAAGCGACTGAGGTAATGAAAGGAGATTTTCTCAATTATCTTGAGAAAATTGATAATATTTTCAAGGGTTTATCTCAAGGTGATAAAACTTGCAAGAAGCAAGAAAAAATTACTTGTTTTAGCAGCTTAGCGTTTGTTCTCTATTGTGTATGTCTTAAAGTGTAGAGCGAATCAAACATTCTAGAAAAACATTGGAGCTCTTCTACAAAAGAGGCTTTGGTCGCTGTCTTTGTTTTTGTTGGTAGAGTATCGAAATTCAGCTGGAGAGGTTAGCAATCGTACTTTTCCTGATAGATCATGAACAAGAGAAGGCTTTTTGCCTTGTTTTTAATCGACCGGCAATCTTCAATGCTTTCAGGTTGAATTATGGAATTTTCACCCCCAAATCAGCGTATGTAGTCATTCCCGAGCGCTTTGATTTCTCTTCATCTTCGGTGATTTTCTTAGTCTTCTTTCCAAAAGAAGATGTGACTGGAAGACAACGAGTTCCTAAATTGGAAAAGTCTGAATAATAATTGGTGTATTCTCAGAATTTTTACGATTTAAAAATGGATTCATCGAGCCGACTCCAACAAAAAAAGTCCCTGGATTTGTTCTTGAGTAGTGGCAAGTCTTACTGAAGACACGTCAAGAGCGAGAAAAAGGCGCCATATAAAGTTAAAACCAATACTGACCGTTGGTAGCAAGTTTAAACCGTGGCCGTCGATGCTAGGGCACCGATTTAAATTCTTTCATGTTTAGGGCGACGCTACGACAGCTTCTTCCGCTCAGGTACTGGATCCAGGCCGCCTCGAGTTTCCAGCGATTCCGCTTCCCCCCGCGAGCGATCTCCAGCGGCGCGGTAGATATTCTAGTGGTGGAGCAGCCACAGGGCGGATTGAAATGCAGCCCCTGGCATGTCCGGTTTGGTCGATTCCAGGGCTTCTTGCGCAGGGAAGAGAGGATTGTGGGGATAGCAGTGAACGATGTGGATTCGGGGTTTCATATGTATTTGAATCGCAAAGGGCAGGTCCATTTCTTCAAGAACAGCGAGGAGGAGGAAGAAAGGAAAGTAGTGGGTGGTTTTGTGAGGAGCTTCTATCGGAGAAAGAGATGGTTTGTGAGGCGTAGGCTTGCAAGTTTGACACCGACATCGCAGCAGCTAGAATCGCTCAACTTGAAACAAGGCAGGAACAAGATCACTTTCACGTTTGCGACTCGCGTTCTTGGTAAGAGACAGGTACAAAGCCATGGTTTATTTTCTTCTTGGTGTTGTTCTTTCTTACGGAAGAATGCACAGGTTGATGCTGGAATTTATTTGCTCCACTGGAGATCCAAGCTTGTGGTCTCGGATGTTGATGGAACAATCACAAAGTAAGGATTTTTCTGCGTTTGAAGTTTTGAGTTCGCGAGTTTGTCTTGCTGCAGGTCGGATGTTCTTGGCCAATTCATGCCTTGGATCGGCCGAGACTGGTCACAAGCTGGAGTGACACCACTTTTCTCTGCGATTAAGGTTTCTCTTTTTATGATTCGATTGAATTTTACGTTTATTTATTTATTTATTTTCGACCAGGACAATGGATATAAACTTATATTCCTCAGTTCGAGAGCAATTACACAATCTTCCAGTACTCGCAAGTTCTTGACAGATCTAGAACAAGTAACTTAATCGAGTTTTCTGGTTGATAAAATCTCTCACCTCTTTGATCTTGAAAACACAGAATGGTGTGAAGCTTCCTGATGGACCTATCGTCATATCTCCGGATGGAATTTTTCCATCCTTGTATAGGGAAGGTCAGTGGATTGCCTCGATTGTTTCTTAAACTCAAGCGTGCTTTTCTCTCTCCTTGCAGTGGTGCGACGACTTCCGCAAGAATTCAAGATCGCGTGCTTGCAGGTAAATTAGTTGAGCTCTTTGATCGTTGGTTTTGAAACGCTTCACCAGGAAATCAGATATCTTTTCCCTCGGGATTGCAATCCATTCTATGCGGGGTTTGGGAACCGCGACACTGATGTGATAACCTACCTCGAAGTTGGAATTCCTAAAGACAGGATCTTTACTATCAATCCAAAGGTACTTTCAATCGTCTTTTTTTTTTTTTCGTTTCGTTTTTCTCGTGGATGGATCAATCAAGTTTGATGTTTTGGAAGCAGGGCGAGCTTATTGCGAGCACTGCAGTGAACGTTAAGTGCTACTTATCTCTGCACAAGCTCGTTAACGAAATGTTTCCTGGCATTTGTGAATAAACAGAAGCAAAGCAGTGCTTATATACTTACTATCCTCCCCTGCTAGCTATGGAAGATCTACATTCGCACAAAGTATCAAACACGGGTACCATCGACGTCAGAAATCCTTGTGCAGTTTTTAAGCTCCAGTGTAGTAACGCGTTTCCTGCATCAAGAGCAAAGATCTGAGAACGAAGTAGAGCAGAAAAAATGCGTTATACTTTTGTAGATTTGGCCTGGCTCGCAAAATATCGCCAGGCTGTGGCTCATCCACTGTCAATGGATCAATCTTCTTCTGGAAGAACGAAAACCAAAATTTAAGATCACGAAACAATGCGTGAACTTACTTTTTGCTTCACCAGCTTGAACTCGGCAGGGAGCTCCTCGTTCGGATAAAGCTGCGAGGAGAAGTAAATTCTCCGGATCCGACAATTCGCATGGACTTGCACTCGGAGAGCTTCCACATATTTCGTACCATAAGCACGCCGGGTATAGTCTGCCAAGTTAAACTCAATCTGGTTCCATCCCGGTTGCAATCTCACAGGCGTAGAACATATCAATGGTCTCACCCTCGAGTTGGACTGTGCAAAGCACGCGTTAGACAGAACAGAAAGAGAATTTTTAACTGATCGCTGAATACCTCAAAGTTAGAGACCCGGAGATACCGCATCTCGTTGACACTGTCAAGTATCAACACCTCGAATCCAAAGTACGTCCCCAGGTTCTTGACAATCATCACCAAGTGGTGGTGCTTGATTCCCAGGGACAGCTTCGGATCCGATGGACAAGTGATAGAGTTCTTCTTGACATTCTGGCCGATGATCTCAATCGTGTTCAGCTCGCAGTCCTCGTCCACAACTCTCTTGATGTGTCCATTCTCCACTGCTCAGGACGAGAATGTATGGGTACAGTGGATCCAGAAGCCAAGAATAAGAGCTACGATACCTTCGTGCCTCCATATGTAGAGTGGCTTGAGCCTGCAAGACTAACGAAGAAAAGAAAGCACCAAAGTATCAGCAAAACGCCCAAAAAGGATTGGATCAAACTCAGTATACTGACCAGTCACTGTAAAGCAGCGTCAAAAACGCGTACTGGGGAGTGTTCTTGAACATGGCTGCTGCTGCTGCTGCTGCCGGGAGGAAGACGAAGTCATGTGAAAGGCAGTTAGGATTCCACGTGGATCGATTCTTCGGCCGTCCGATCTCATTCCTTATCAGTTTCTATGAAAATTCGGATGAATCGACAAAAAAAAGAAAATGAAGAGACGATTAGATCAAACTCTCAAGAATGTGTGTTACCTATGCTTTCTTTCTCTCTCTATTTTTTGTCTCCGAGAGCCTTCTCAATGTCTGCAAAGGAAACGGTTCCGGAGCCTCTTCTTGCGGGTTTTTGTTGAGAGGAATGTGGACTCCATCCTCCCATGTAAATAACCTGTTTGTTCATAAAGTTAGTGAAGGGAAAAGGAACTTTAAACACACCTGAAAAGTCGCGGGGATTGATCCATCTTCCTCTCGAAACATGGACTCGTAAATGGCGGCCGCAGCCAACGCAGTGTCTCGCTTCAAGATCTGTGAGCACGCAGTTTGCACAGGTTCAGAAAAGAAATATAAAGTCCAGCTTTGCTGACGTACCGGGTTTCGCTGAAGCAGGCAGTTCATCTCACCCATTTGTCGGATGTGATCGATTAAGTCCATAGCTGAGAGGTAGCATATTAAGAGGCGATCGCATAAAAAAAGGTGGAAGATTTACTGACCACTAGAATATTTCATAACGTAGTCCTGGATGTCCACAGCTGGAATTGCAAAGCCTGCCCGTGTTAAGAGATTGCCAGCATCACTGACCTGATGATCAGCACTGCCAGGTTTAATCGGAAAAACTTGTCTAGCAAGCTTACACGAGAGAATGGAGAAACTCGTGGACTGATTCCACCTTCTCTTTCCAGCTGAGCCAAATGACACGAGATTCTGAGCTCTCTGCGTCGAAGAAACAGTCCGGTGTGAAATTAAAAACGAGAAAGAGAACGCACCGGAGAGTGTCTCCGCCAAAGATTGATGCCAGAAAGAAGCCGTCCGGTTTCAAGGCTTGTCGAAACTGCAGCAAAGATTTCCATCATCACACATGGAAATCTTCCTAGAAAAATGAAAGCAAGCTTTTCACTTACCTGTGTCATTGCACCAGGAACGTTGTTTACCCAATGTAGTCCCAAGCAAGAAACAACCAAGTCCAGGGAGCTTAAAAGCCATGAAGTTAGTTCAACTCTTCGTTTTCACGCAAAAGGTACCCTGGTTTGATGGGAAGAAACTCCTCGTCGGCAACGAGATGGACGCACTCCATTTCAGAGGCGCTTGATTCCGCGCATTTGTTCAGCATTGGGAGTGATAGATCCATCATGAAAAGTTTCTCCACGCCGCCTGTATAGATCGGTCTTTGCCATGAGCCAAGCTTTCACGAAAGCAAGGAAAGAAAATTACCTCTTCCTTTGAGAAGTTTTTGGACGTAGTCCAGAGCTCCACCTACATTGAGAGCAACTGGAAATTGTCGCTTACAATCCTGGAAGCACGCAAAAATCTAAGAAAAAAGAAGAACAAAGAAAGAAAAGATCGATGTGTGATTGTTACCAGGAGCCGATCGAGAAGAGTCTCAGTGACGGATTCCATCAAAGAATTATCATCCGCGCGCAGCACCGCTGCCCTGTCCCTCTGGAAATAGGAGGAGAGAAATATTTCCCAAAGAGAAGAGAAGAGGTTCTAGCTCTCTAAGTACCTGGCTGCGCTTAAGCTTGCGATCGAAGATATTCATGGGCGCCTCGCCTGGATCTTGCGACGCCATCGCCAGAGCTCGCCGCCATTCTCTCAGCGCCTGCCGCCGCGACGACGCCATCGCCATCGCCATGGAGACCAAATTCCCGCGATGGAGAGAATATACCCTCTTCCCAGAGGCTAGGGTTTTTCATCCATCAGGCACAAAATGGGAAATTTGTTCGTGAAGAAGCCTCGCGTCACGGATGTGGATCGGGCGATTCTCACGCTCAAGACGCAGCGGCGGCGCCTCGCGCAGTATCAGCAGCAGGTTAGCGAGCAACCGCGGTGGAACTTTTCTTCTCTCGCGATCGCGCATTTTGCTCACCCATTCGTCGCGTTTTCTAGGTCGAGATTGTGATCCAGAAGGAGCAGGATGCCGCGCGGCAGCTGGTTCGAGAGAAGAGGAAGGATCGAGCGTTGCTAGCTCTGAAGAAGAAGAAGGCGCAAGAAGAGCTTCTCAAGCAAGTGGATGTTTGGCTTGTAAATGTCGAACAACAGGTAGAATTCGATCGAACTCTGGTATTGTCCATTGCTCACGATTGGAATATTTTTTTTTTCACTTGACTTGCAGCTAGCAGATATCGAGATCGCTGCCAAGCAAAAGGCTGTTTTTGAGAGTCTAAAAGCTGGCACCCAAGCGATCAAAGACCTCCAAAGCGAGATCAACATCGATGACGTCCAAAAGCTCATGGATGACACAGCGGAAGCCAAGGCTTACCAAGACGTGACGCTTCTATCCAATCTCTTTCTTTGCATGAATTCACAGAGCTTTTTGCGCTTGTGTTGCAGGAAATCGATGCCGTGCTGGGACAGAAGCTCTCAACAGAAGACAACGAGGAAGTTCTAGCTGAACTTGCCGAGATGGAAGTGAAGGTATTACTCAACTCAATACTCCTCGCTCTCTCGTTTACTCGAAAGTTTCTTCTTTTTGTAGATGGCTCTGGAGGACATGCCCGCCGTTCCAGACGTCCCGATGACGGACAGACCCGAAGCAGCGGAGCCAGCTAAAGTTCCAGTTGCCGAGCAAGCCGAGACACGATACTCCGACATCGAGGCAGTGATGGGAAGCAGGCAGAAGAAACCCGTAGAGGACGACGATGTAGATATGCTCGATCTTCCAGAAGTTCCCAGCACAATACAGAGAAGGAAAAAAGAAGCGGCCAAGGGTAAGTGCTTCCATCCATCTCAGAGGATTGAAACCGTGTTCTTATCACCTCTTTTTCTTTTTTCGTTTTGTTCTTCCTTTTGGCAGCGCGTGTGGATCCATTGGTAGCATAAGAACAGTAGGTGAGGCTCACGCCATTTTCTATGTTTGATTCTAACGGTTTGATTGGTTTGTAGATTTTATTAGGCGGCCACTGTTCCTGGCACCAAAAGCAGCCATTACGCGATTGTCTGTATTAACTTCTCTAGATTTAGCGGCATTTTGCCGCTTTCTTTTCCTTCTTGATTGATTGACATTTGCCGCGGTACTTTGATGTTGGTTAGGTGCTCTCCTGATCATGACGTGTTTTTCTTCAGCCAGGTAAAACTAGTTTAACTGCAAATCTCTAATACCGTTTTTTCTTAATCTGTTTTCTAGATAGCTGGACTGGACGGGTGATTTATTCAAAGCCAAAGACGACAATCACGCAATGCGGGCAGCGGAGAGATTGATGAAGCGGCCGGGATTTTTCCCTTTCACTCCATGAAGAAAGTAAAGTAGAAGAAAGCTCGGTGATTTCTAGTAAAACCATGCTTATAAGCCGATGGGTCGTGTGCAGGCCATGCATGGAGGAAGAGATGGCGATTAAAAAGGTGAGCCAACCCTGTGGTTGGTGCTAGCCGCCCTATTGGAAAAAGGAGGTGGTGGTGGTGGTGGCTTCTCTCTTTTAGGGGAAGAGGGAAGGCGATGAGGCTCGAGGAGCCAAGGAGGCGGCGGCGGTGGTCCGGCGAGGACTGGGCGGTTCTCCCGTCGGAGCTCCTCGATCTCATCCTCCTCCGCCTCCCGCTGCTGGCCATCGTCCGAGCACGCAGCGTCTGCAAGAGCTGGAACGACGCCATCCAATCGCCGGGCTTTGCTCACAGGAAAGCGCTGCTGGATCACGAGCTGGGCTGTGTCCCAAAAGGCTGGCTCGTCACTCTCATCGGGCGGTACAAGAAGAAATGGGTGTGGCTGTATGATCCGCGCTCGGGGCTTCGCCACCAGATCACGCTCCCGGCCTCGCTCAAGGGGACCTTTTACGAGGCGGTGGTCGTGGGTGGATTCATCTTCATCGAGGCCGGCTGCGTCAACTGCGATGACAACTTTTCGTCGAGGTACCTGGCCTGGAACCCGATCACCGGCTTCGTCAAGGAGCTCTTCGTCCCCCAGGCCGGCTGCCTCGCGGTGGTGTCCACGAACCGCAGCCTCAAAGTCTACTCGCTCAAACCCAGCGGCGGTGGTGAAGAGAGCAAGAAGATCTTGTCCGGCCTGGCGGGGTCGTGGCACAGGGTCGCCTTCCTCACTTACCGGAACCAGTTCTTCTTCGGTACGTACAGCAACGGGCTTGTCTACAGCACTAAGGCCTTCCGTGACAGGACGCTCACGGCACAGGACATGATCACTTTCAAAATCTCGGGAGTGGAGCTTCCGCCGCAGCTGGAGAGGAAGTGCCGGTGGGGGCTCAAGCTTCTCAACTCGGAGGGGAGCTTGCTGCTGCTGGTGGCATGCACGCCGCTGAGGCGCGATGGGAATCGAATGCAAGTGTGGAGGCTCATCGATGGCGCTCCTCCGGGGGCGAGGTGGGAGTTTATCAGTGCGATGCCGGAGGAGTTTTACGAGCTGGTGTTCCGGGGCAAGGTGACGCAGCACAACTGGAGGTGCGCGGCGGTGGATCACCTGGTGTACGTCTCGAGCTCGCACCGCCGGGTGGAGCAGCAGGAAGGAGTGGTGGTGCTGGACTTGAGGACTTCCAGGTGGAGCAAGGTGGAGCCGGTTCACCACGAGAGGCAGCATTGCCCGTGGTCGGCTCCCGCTGCGTTTTATCCCTCGTTCGCTTCGCTGGACGACTCGGCCATGCCTCCGCAGCCAAAGTTCTCACCGGAAGACGTTGGGACAAGCCAGCCGAGGCCGGCGTTTCTTCGATCAATGGTGTGAGGTCTGTGGAGATTTGGAAGGGAGATTGGAGCTCTGACTGTGTTTTTTGCTTTCCTTTGCAAGGCGATAAGAAGAAGAAAAAAGAGTACACAAGTCTTATCCTGCGAGTTGGAGGTAACCAAATCGGTTTTGCTTCTAACTGTAATGCTGCTTTGGCCAGATGAACCGACTGCCTTTCATGTCCAAGTGCTCGTTCTCCGTTGCGTCAATCGGGTCTTGATCGTCCTCGCCGTGATTCACTTTATTTTGCGACCACTGCAAAGATGTCAGTTCAGTCCACCCTTTTCTTTCCGGAAATTTTTTTCATTCCTCTCGGTTCGCGTTTTGTTTACCATTTCCACGAGTACTTTGTACTTGAGGTCCATCAAGTTTAGCTTCTCCTTGAGGTTCTTCATCTCCTGTTCTTGCCTGGCGTACTTGATGATCTCCCTCTCCTGTTTGATCGTTAACAGTTTACTATCCATTTCGAGTCGAGTGGGTTTACCAGTGAGACTTTCTCCTTCCGGAGCCGTAGAACTTCCTCGTGCATTTTTCCCGCGGCGGGCTCACTCACTGGAGAAACAGGAAGAGATTCAGCGCAAGAAGCAAAACGAGAATCGATTTTTTCCTCCGACCTGGACACCAGTGGCCGTGAGAATTGCACTGGAACTGCTGGCTGTTGAGATTGATCGTAATCGGCTCGAGAGTGGTGTCCAGTTTCTTGACATTCATCACCTCGCTTGGAATTTGCTGCTGCTGTGGCGAGGAAACTCTTTTTCTCATCAAATCTCTGCACAAAAAATGTAAGAACCAGAGAATCAAATCTATTATGAATGAATGTTACTTGAAGAACCCCATTGCGAGAAGATCAAGCTCTTTGATAACGACTTTGTTTGTTTCAGAGGAGCCCTAATCAGATGGACCAACGGCCGTGTCACAGTCATGTGAAAGTGACATGGTAGTTGGACCGAGAATACCGGCCGACTGGTGCCACGTGGCGGCATGCCATCAAAGAGAGATTTTTAGGGCTCATTTGGAAACCCTAACAGCGCTGGGGATGGGCATCAAGGGGAGCAAGGATGTGCAATTGAATGACGTCTCCAAGATCGAGAGGAGAATGGTGGAGGCGATGCGCAAGCGCGCCAAGGCCGGACCATCGCCCTTCAAATCCTTCAACAGCATTCTCATGAAATTCCCAAAGATTGACAAGTCCTTCGAGCAAGTGAGGGGCGTCTTCAAGAAATTTGGTAACTTCCCCTCTCTCTCCGTCGCAATAGCTTTGCTTATAAGATCCTTGTTCTTTGGATCTATCGCATCGCAGACAAGGATGATAGTGGAACCATCGATCTGGAGGAACTGAAGACGTGCTTCCGAGAGCTCCAGGTGGAGTTTACTGATACCGAGGTGAAAGCGTTCCATGAGGAGAGCGACATGGACAAGAGCAAAGGTGTGGACTTCAAGGAGTTTATCATCGTTCTAGCGTTGGTTTATCTGCTGGGCGAGACTGGCGCCAAGCCCGTCAAGCAAAAAGAGGAGGACAAAGGCAAGGGGTCTCAACTGAAAAATCTCGTAAGTGCTAAGCTTTCCTCTTGCTCCTTTTTTCTTCTTCCAAGCTGAGAACCTTCTCTAGAAATCTCGCATTGGTTTAGCGGAGCTTGAGTCGACTTTCGAGACGATTGTAGACACTTTCAGGTTTTTCGACAAGGATGGCGATGGCTACGTGAGCAGGAAGGAGATGATCACGGCCATTAACGAGGCTTCTCCGGGGCAGTCCTCGTCGGGCGAGAGCATCGGCGTCAAGAGATTTGGTAACTCTCAAGAAAAAACCAGAAACTTCCGTAACTTTCTTCATGCTTCTCGTACTCGACAGAGGAAATGGATTGGGACAAGAATGGGATGATCACGTTTAAGGAGTTTCTGTTTGCTTTTACTGATTGGGTTGGGATCGAAGAAGAAGAAGATGCAGACGAAGACGAGGAAGAATGAGACGTGAAGCCAAACTCGTTGTCCGGATGAGTTTTTTTTTTTTTTTCTCCTAACACATTCTCTGGAGGTAATTCGCTACTAGGCAAAATGGACAACGCTTTAGAGGTCCCTTGACAAGCTTGATATGATTTCCTAGCAATATAAACAACAGCATTTGATCCCAAGTAACTCAAGCAGAAACACAAACGGGAAGAGAATTGAAATACAATACCCTGAGGGATGCCATGCTACTTAACTTCGATCATGGCCACACAAACACTTAACTTGCAAAGTTGGTGAGCATGTTGTGGAGTAGAGAGTATGCACCAAGGTGGCGTGGGTTCAACTGCAGAACACGCCGCACAATCCTGCACCCCAGACAGAAGTCATTCTGCATTCTGCACGCACCCAGCAGCGCCATGTACGTTTCTACATCAACTTCAAACGGAATCACCCGAATCAACTCATCGGCTTGAGTTAGCCACCCCGCCCTCGCCAGCAGATCCACAACACACGCGTAGTGCTCCACCGCTTGAGAGATCTTTCGATCATCGGCCATGGAGGAAAAGAAGTCTCTTCCTCGATCAATCATCCCCGCGTGGCTGCATGCAGTGAGAAGGCACACGTAAGTTACAGCGTCGAAATCCACCCCGTGGAGCTCCATTTCGAGATGAAGCTCGAAAAACTCCGGGAGTCTGGATTCGTGAGCGTATGCCGCCAGCGTCGTCGTCCATGCGCAAGAATCCGGAATTCTTTGCTCCTCGATGATCCTCTGAGCTCGATCCGGGAAGCCACACCCGCAGTACATCTCCACGACCGCGATCGCGAGCTTTGAATCGCGAGCGAGCGTGATGGAGCCTTGGCGATCGATACGAGCGTGGATCTCGCAGCCCAGATCAAAATCTCTGGCTTGCGAGCACGACGCTAGCACGCTCTGGAATGTGATCTCGTTGGGTTCCAGCGCTGATTCCATTCTCTGGAAGAGATGGATCACTTCACGGTGATTGCCCTGTTGGACGTACGCTGAAATGATAGAGTTCCAGCTTACAACATCTCTGTTCTTGATCAAATCGAAAACTTTCCTCGCGTCTTCTACGCAGCCACACTTGCCGTAGAGATTGATGAGCGAATTCGCCACGAATCCATTCTCTTCCAGCATCGATCTTCTCTTTTGATCGCTCGCGATCATCCTGTGTATCTGTCGGCCCTCTTCTAGGCACCTCAAGATCGAGCACGCGTTTAGAACCGCAACGAACGTCACCGCATCGGGATGGATCTCTCGGATGCTGGCCATTTCTCTGTAGATCTCGAGCGCTCTGGCCGGATGCCCCGATCGTGTGTAGGCCGATATGATCGCCGTCCAGACGTGGGCGCTTCTCGATCTGTTCTTGATCCGATCGAACACCCCTCGCGCCTCGTCCAGCCTACCGCATTTGCCGTAGAAATCGATGAGCGCGCTCGCCACGATCGCGTTCTCTTCCAGCCCCATGGATCGAACCTGGCAGTGGATGATCTTTCCCTGCGAGAGATCCAGCAGTCCACAGCACGCAGCGATGGCATTGACGAACGTCGCGGGCGTCGGCGGCAAATCCATCTCTTTGTATAGCTCCAAAGCCTTGCCAAAATGTCCACACTGGGTATTTGCTCCAATCATCGTGTTCCAAGATATTACGTTTCTTTCTTTTACATTTTCAAATATATTCCTCGCTAGATCTAAGAAACCGCAATTCGAATACATGTTCATCAGCGCATTTGCAACTGCGGCATTGGATTCGAGATTTCTTTCTCGAATCTTTGAGTGGAGTGCTTTGCCCTGTGTTAGATCCTTGCTCGATGAGCAGGCGTCCAGAGCAGCGGTGTAGGTGAAGGCATCGGGATGGAATCCCTGCGATTCCAGCTCATGGAAGAGGTGGATCGCTTGGCGGCCATGCCCATTTCGGGCATAAGCAGTGATGATGGCAGTCCACGACACTAAATCTTTGTTGGGGATGGCATCAAAAACATCCCACGCGCGCTGCAAGCTGCCGCATTTGCCATACATTTTTATCAGCGTGGTGGCTTGTGCTAATAGCACCATAAAAAAAGTTAACCATAAGAGTTGGACTTGCCAACTTTTTATCCTTATTTAAAACAAGATTTAAAACATATAAAATTGATTCTATAAATATGCTCATGAGAAGGCCTCAGTTTTCACGTCTCTTGCAGAAGTTTTCAATTGCTTTTCAATTGGTTCTTCAATGTCTTGCCGGTCAGCTTCTGGACTGCTTGCTCTCTTTCCGTCGACAAATCTCCCAAGTCGTTGGAGAGAGTGAAGAAAGAAAAAGGAGAATGGTCTTAACCCCTTTTAGGGCATCATCCAAATTGGGTTTTCCTTCGTGTCAGGGCAGAATGGAGTGCATAACGAAGGATCTCTTGCTCCAGATCTTTGCGGGCTTGGAGCTTGACGATCTGGGGAGGCTGCGATGTGTTTGTAGATCCTGGCACAGCGCCATTGCTTCGCAGGGATTCGCCAAGCAATGGAAGAACAGGGACCAGGTCTGTTGTGTCTTGCGCGCCAAGGACAGCATCCACAGAGAAGTGTGGTTCCCGGGCAGCGGCGCAAGAAGATCTACCGGATTGAATCCAGGGCCTCGTGGGTGTTTCTCCATTGGGGTTTCTTCTTCACACGGCCTGGTTTGCGGATTGCTACCAGACGAGGGCCGCTACTGGAGCACGCCTGACACAGCATGGAAGTTTGTGGTAGGAAATCCATTGACAAACAAATGGAGGCGGCTGCCTCCAATCGATATCCCTTGTCGTCCGCTCTGCACCATGGAAAGGATCCATCTCCAGGCTGATCCGTCCAAAGGTTCCTACAAGCTGGCGATCACCTACAGTGAAGTTGGCAGTGACTACGAAGTGATCTACCAGGCGCGCCAGTATGATTCAGAGTCGCGGGTGTGGACCTCGGCAGTGCCCTTTATTGGCGAGCACGACGGCGCAAATACGAAGATCGACGGCTCCGTGCTGGGAAGCGCGGGGCTCCATTACCCGCCATACTTTCTCATGGCCTACAATCCAGATTCCATGGCCTGGTCTTGTCACAAGCACTTTGCGGGTGATCGCGATCCAACTCCCCTCAATGAATCTGTCTACAAGGAGTACAAGCTCCTTGACAGCACCGCCTTATCTGGAGTCTTGAGGTGGAGAGGCAGGAATTTCATGGTGACGCACTCGTTTAGCTGCGTGGTGCTCTGGGAGCTGGACACTGTGGCAGGAGAGTGGAAGGTTTTGTCAAGCAGGCGGTATAAGGAGCTGTATGGCGGGAGGCCGTCGAGAAGAAACTCGGATATCCAGGCGCTGCTTGTTGGGAGCACAATAGTTTTCTCGGATCGCTACGGGACCCTGTACGTGTATGCGCCGTATGCGTACAACCTCGAGGACTCAACTTGGCACTCGTCAGCTTCGAGTGCGGACACGGGCACTGCACTCAGCTGCGCATTCATACCCAGCTTCAACGTCGAGCCATAGGAGAATCTCGCGAGCATCTTGCGAGAGAGAGGTGAGTACTTATTTGCCTTCTTCACTGTTTGCATAACTGGAGATTTGCAGTGAGGAACACGTGAAAAACTCTGCGATCCTGCCTGCGCCTGCGCGGAGGTAAGCTCGAAAAGCTAAACAAGACCGCAGAGCTACGACTCTTACCACGCCAAGCTACGACTTGCACAGATTGGTAGCAATAGTGCTCTGACGGGCAAAGGAGCGTCGGCTCCTCTGTCAACCGACGCTCAAGGTCTACAACATTCCACTGCAGAAAAACATGCTCAAGAATGCGGAGCCGCTGCCGAAGAAACGCTGCGTGGGGGATTTCCTGCCGAGGGAAGAGCTCTCGGGAGAGAATCTGGATTGAATCGCTCCCGGGACAACGTTATTGGCTCACCACCATAAACTTTGTGTGTAAATAGTCATTATTTATTTAATGATTAAATGTACCTTAGAATCTCTTGGATCTCGAGAAGTTAGCCCAAGAGAAAAAGATTGTCTACGAGAATCGTCTCCAGCACATGAACAGCAAGTATGAGAGCAGCCAGTTCTTTGTTTCCATGTACCAGCAGGCTATGAAGAAGCTCGAGCTGACATATGCAAATGGAGATCAAAGGCTTAAGGATCTGCTTGAGCAGGTCAGCAAATCCAAGAGTTGGAAGAGCTTCTTGAAGGATCTTCAAGATTGTGGGCTGAGAATCAGCAGCTTAAGAAGAACCTGCATAACCAAGAGAAGAAAATGGAGGCAGTTATAGCCAGGATGGAGGAAGAACATGAGGAGGCCGTCTATCCTAGAGAAGAAGATGGAAGAAATTCTACAAGGCAAGGATGTTGATTATGGGAGCCAAGGACGCCAAGCAAGAGCTTAAGGACTTTGCTTGGGAGAAGCTCAGCACTTTGAACATCATCAAGCATTAGCTATTAAAGAGAGTTCACTCTTAATATGTAGCTCAGGTTGAATTATTCCAGATATTTTATAGTCGATTCTTTTTCTCTTCTTCAAACTTCTAGAGATTCAGCAACTCCCCTAAGAGATTCCATCAAAGGAGCAGTATTTACAAGAAACAACTATACATTTTTATTACCCCTTATTTGTAGTTAGTGCATTAGTGGAGAAAACACTGGTGGTTGAATGGGAAGGAAAGGGGGAGGCTCAAACAACGGCTGTGGTGGTGGCGGCGGCGGCGATGGTGGTGGAAACATTGCCAGTGGAGGCGATGGCGGTGGTGGAAACCAGGCATGGAACGGTGAAGGTGGCGGCAGCGATGGTGGCGAAAGTGTAAAATGGGGTGGCGATGGCGGTGTGGTCGTAAAGTGCGATGGCGGTGGTGGTGGTGGCTCTGATGTTGGCGGCACCAATGGTGGCGGCGGACTGTGGTGCTGGTGGTGATTTTTCCTGTGACGCTTCTTCTTGTGATGGTTGCAACTCTGCTGCTCGTGATGAGAAGTAGTGACTATATTTTCGGTGGGCGCTGTAAGCTCATAGTCTACGAGTCCATGGCCGTGATGACATGGTGGTGGCGGAGGCGGTGGCGGCGGCGGCGCTCGAGCAGAGATTTCTGGCAAGAGATGATAGTGTAATGAGTTCCCGAAAGAAAATGAACTGCCTATTACCTTGAAATGTGTAGAACAAAACGAGGAGAGTCGCAAGAAGCACTGGCGAAGCCATTCAGAGCCTTAGAATTTCGGATCTGCTGAATGAATGACGCAATCGCGGTTTCTTAAATACCAGGTGGCGACTTTGTAACGTTCTTCGCGCGGTAGATTCCACACAAATGTTCCTCTCGGATCTCATGAACACTGGCTGGGTGTAACGCCTTCTGCGAAAAACAATGGACGGAAAAAAGGAAACGAAAATCACGATATGATTGATACATTTCTCTGCCAGTTTCATAAGAACCTGATGAAACTCCACAAGCTTAGATTAGCAATCCAAAGGAAAGAAGGAAACAAACTTGGCTTACCAACAGCACTGAAACTCTGAGAATTTCTCTCCTTCAGTACCTCTCCACGAGAAGAAAATCATCGTCCTTGAGCAGCCGGACTTCCGTGCAGCCAGGGAAATTGTCGCGTCCAATGCCCTCGACGATCTTCACGAACTCTTGCCTCTTCTCAACGTTGAGAGGAGCATACGGTAGCCGAAAGACCGGCCGGATGAGCCCGAGCTGCGACAAGGCAGTGTTTAGTCCGATGGGATTCGGCTCCACGAACAGCCAGTTGATCAAAGGCATCAGCTTCTCGTTGAGCTCCTGGTTCTTCCCGGAGAACATGAGCTCGTGCATCAACTTGGGAACCAAGTTGCTCACCACCGAAATCACACCTCGAGCACCGAAGTCCCACCTCGAGTCATGGCACTGATCGTCGTTTCCACTCCACACCGCGATCCCCTGCTCAGTGTAGTGCTTCACGCGTTCGTTTCCCATACACTCCTTGACACCCAGGAAGTTTGGACTGCTCGCTATCTTCTCGATCACCGACGGTGGAATGTCTTGGCCAGTTCTTCCGGGAACGTTATAGATCACAGTCGGACCCATAGCGAGCACGCTCTTGAAGTGGAGCAAAAGCCCATCCATGGACGTCTTCCCGTAGTAAGGATTGATGTGGAGCGCAGCATGCATGCCCGCCGCAAATCCCTGCTCGGTCGCGTGGATCGCCTCTCGAGTGGAGTTGCTGCCAGTGTTTCCAATCACTTTTATCTTGTCTCCAAAGCAATTCACCGTGCGGGCGATGAGCATGATGTGCTCGTCCCAGTTCATGAGATGACCCTCTCCTGTGGTTCCCCCTACGATAAGTCCCTCCACACCGTGATCGACCTGGGTTCTTACCAGTGAATCGTAAGCTTCCAGATCAAACCTTCCATCTGGAAGATATGGAGTCTTGATAGCCGAGATGAGCCTCAGCTTCTTCATCTCTTCCACGGGCGTACTGCAAGAAAATATATCAGAGAAACGAATAGAAGAACGCGAGGAGAAATCTACAATCCAGAGATCTCTCGAAATTCTGGTTACCTGTTCTTGAGCTCGTTGCTACGCATCGGCAATGGTGTGGATTGCATGACAGCCGCTCTGATTTGGAGACAAGCTTTCCTAGATCCGCAGCGCGCGGCGGATCGCGGCGCTCTTCCCAGCGTGCCGCAGAGCGCAGAGCTCGCCAGCGCCCGGCATTCTTGCGTCCGGATCTCCGGCATTGCGATGGAAGCCTCCATTCTTCTCGCCCTCGCCCTAAAATCCTGATAAACCCGTTTTTAGGGTTCTTCCCAATGCGATGGATCGATACGCGATGAATCCAGGGGAATGCGCGCTCCAGCTCCAAAATGTAAGATCTCCGCCGCGAAATATCTCCTCCTGGATCGCAGGCGTTCGTTCGAGCGGCAGCAGGATCGACTGGACCTCTTCCTCTTGCTGGCCGGATTGAAGGCCTGTGGCAGCACCAGAGATCTCGACAGCGGCAAAAGAATCCACAGCGATGCGATCGAAGCTGGATTCCACGCCACGAACTATGTGATGAACAGTCTTGTCCACATGTACGCCAAGTGTGAGAGCATGGAGCTCTCTCGCCAGATCTTTGACACGATGGATCATCGTACAGTGGTTTCTTGGAATTCCTTGATACTGGGATACGCGGCAAACGGCCAAGGTAGCACGGCGCTGGATCTTTTCCACGGCATGGAGCGAGAAGATGGATCGAGCTCTCCGAATTCGCGGACTTTCGTGGCTGTTCTTACGGCTTGCTCGAGTTTGGCATCGAGAGAAGAGCCGAAAGTTATGGACGGGAAGCTTGTGAGACTGGGATCTCTGGAGAAAGGCCGGATGATCCACTCGCAAGCCAGGAAGAATGGCTGCGACTCGGACACTTTCGTCTCCAACAGCTTGATCGACATGTACTCCAAGTGTGGAAGCGTGGTGGAAGCTCGACAGATCTTCGACGTGATGCTCCATCGCTCCATCGTCTCGTGGAACTCTATGATGCTGGGATACGTCGAGAATGGCGAGCCCGAGCAAGCTCTTGGACTGTTCTCTCGATTGGAGCGTCAAGGTGGCGGTGTTCTTCCGGACGCTCGGACTCTAGTCGCCGGCTTGATGGCTTGCTCGAGCTTGGCCAAGCGAGCTGGCGACGACACACTCGAGAAGATCTTGGAAAAGGGAGTGGAGCTCCACTGGAGAGCCAAGCAGCTTGGTTACGAGTCACAGCTCTTCGTCGCCAACACTCTGATCGACATGTACTCGAAGTGTGGGAGCCTGGAGAAGGCAAAGCTGGTCTTCGATTCCATGCCTGCTCGAGACGTCGTCTCCTGGAACTCGCTACTGCTGGGATTCTCCGAGAGTGGCGACGATCAAAAGATGGTGCTCGAGCTCTTCCAGCAAATGCAAGCCGAGAGGTTCGCTCCAAACTCTCGGACCTTCGTTGCCGTGATCGGTGCCTGCTCGGCTCTGGCAGCAGCGCAGTCGAAGAAGAAAGCTAGAGCTAGAGACGAAGAAGAAGCTTGGCTGGACAAGGGAGTGGCAATCCATGGCCAAGCAGTGATCGCTGGCTGCGACACAGACCTCTTCGTTGCGAGCTCCCTGGTGGACGTGTACGCCAAGTGTGGCTCCATGGAGCTCGCTCGCAAAGTCTTCGACTCCATGCCTCGCCACGACACAGTCTCGTGGAACACACTCATCCTGGGATACAGTGACAACGGCGAGAGCCACTCCGCTCTAGAATCCTTCGCTCGAATGCGGCGAGAAGGTACTTCCACTCCAGACAGTCTAACTTTCGTCTCGGCTCTCAATGCTTGCAGCAAGCTCTCGGCTATGGAGATGGGCAGAACGATCCACGCCGACGTCCACCGCTATGGCCTGGAAGCCGAAGTTCTCATCACGAACGCCCTGGTGGATTTCTACGGGAGCTGTGGATGCACCGCGCACGCCGCGAGAGTCTTCTACTCGGCTTTCACCACCGACTTGGTCACTTTCAGCTCGATCATCGCGTGTTACAGCCGGGCTGGGGACTGCCACCGAGTGTTTTCCAGCTTCCGCGAGATGATCGAGCAGAAGCTCCGGCCAGACGCCATGACTTTCTCGTCGATCCTCAGCGCCTGTAGCCACGCCGGTCTCGTCGAGCAGGGGGAGTACTACTTCGAGGCCATGAGCCGCGTGTACCAAGTCGCCCCCGACATGGATCACTACCACTGCTTGATCGATCTTCTCGGGAGGGCCAACCAGATCGATGAGGCGCTCGAGCTCGCGAGAAAGATGCCTTTCCAGCCGAATTCCCTGACCTGGACGACGCTGCTGAGCGCCGCGACCAAGTGGAAGAACGAGAGCGTGGGGAAGGTAGCGTTTGACGCACTGACCAGCTTTGGTGGCGAATCCTCCGCGACGTACTCTTTGCTGGCAAATATTTTCACGTTTAACAAGAAGTAGCAGCTCAAAATTAAATATACATTATTTAGAAGAATATCAATTATAAGATAAAATGACTGGACTTATTTATTTATTATTTATCAATATATTTTAAAATATTCTTGCTATAGTTCTACAGTAAACTAATGAATCAAAAAGTTACTAAAAGCGGTTTAACGTTATTCAGTGTACATAATTTAGATTTTTTATAATACCAGTTGGCTAGCTGTATTTAATTTTAGAACATTAAAATAAAAAATTAAACATGAATTTTATAAATGATTGACTTAATAAATATTTTAAAATAAATAATATAATTTTTTATTGGAGTATAAACTTAAAAAGTGTAAAATAGTACTGTGAATGCATGGATTTAGACCTCACAGTACAAGATTGAATTAAATTTTGTAGAAATATTTTCTTACTTATTGGTTTTCCTATTATAGAACAAAAGAATTTTTACAAGTTTTGATAGTTTTTAGATTAATTGATATTACTGTTAAATTTAATAGGAGTTATTTTTAGTTTCAAAACCATGTCTGAATTGTAAATATGTTAGCTGTTTAAATAAATTTATAATTTTTGATACTTACATTATAAAAATATAAAACACTAATTATTTTAAATAATAAGTTTTAAAAATTTATCAAATAAATATTATTTGTGTACTTTAATATTCCTACTATATAAATATCATATCATTATAGCACTAGTTATTTTAAAATACAATACTTATATTTTATTATAGATAAAACTGTTGTTAAAAATATTTAAGAATTTTTGCTATGAGTGCTTGGGATATAGAAATAGATATAGATATATTAATTAAGGTTTAGACCCAGGCTTATATATACATATATATACATATATATGTATATACATGAGAGGTCACCCAGCCCAAATATCTCAAGACTTTTAACCAATTGGAAAACAAGATGCACTAAGGCCTTTTTAGATTGTTTCTTAAGTTAATTTCTTTAATTATTTATAATTTACAATATTTTCTTGCAAGTTTCACACTTTTGTGAATAAAAGTTATAAACCATAACTCTTTTAAAAGCCCAACTCTCTTAACACCCTACCTTTTTAGCCAAAGGTAAATTAAACCTTTGGAAATGTATATATGTATGTGTACATATATATTTATAGATCCCTCCTTATAGCACATGTGGTTTTTACATTTTATCCTATGGTGATTTACCATAGGATAAAACCACAAAGCAGAACCTAAACCCTCTTTGTGCCACGTGACAAATGTAACATGTCACATGCCACGTGTCCAAAGGAATGTGGTGCGAAACCCAAGGTTCAGGGCCTTGGGCCACTGAATGAAGGAACGGTGCCAAACTTCCAAACATGGAGCAAAGGAGCAACGGAACTAGACCATAGAGCAACTCCCGAGCATACAACCCAAGGAGCAAAGGGACAGGAGCCCGGAGCGACTTAGAACAATCCTAGAGCAACCAACATCTCTTTGCAAAGACTAGCACGCAAAACGGAGTTAAATGGAGTTTAGCGCTATTTCGGCATACTAGTGGCCTAACGCAAGGAGATGGACACTCCACCAGCTAGCATGGAATGGAACTTGGGCTTAAACCCAAGCCAAACGCAGAACAAGGACAGATACACAAGCAGAAGTTAGACTATGCCTCAGGTTGGTCGGCCATGCTTGACCTACTCACTATCCCTAGAACCCCCAACACCCCCTTGAGGAACACACGCTTTAAACTTTCACCTTAAACTACCTTTAGTTACTAAATATGGAATATCCCTAGATTGTGAATTTAGACATAGAACGAACACCATTGTGTTCAAGCTGATCTCTACATTCTGTAAATATGCCAAACGAGTGAATTTAGACACTTTCCATAATTAGCATTTAGGACCGAAATGAGACTAACATAAAAGGCATGATAGCGAGGGTGTTTGGTAAACATAATAAGCTATCATCCAGTGATATTAAGGGACCAATCTCAATACGCAAGGGTTCTTGTCAAGCTAGTGCAAAACAGAGCAAAAGAGAACTAAAAGCCAGACCGAGTATGCTCAGCTAGAAACATATAGGAGTTTTTACCTTATTTCCATCTGGTTAAGTACAGGTGCTAAGCCCAGTTTACTAACACTTGAACAAGAGGGGTTGATAAAGGGAACCAACAATACCGACCTCTTGCCGTCGTGGAAGTAAGAAAAGAATATCCAAAAGGACTAGCCGATAGATAACTTTCGATACCTGAAGTCACATTCACGGCATTTTTCTTCAAAAGATGAAAAAGCGATGATGATAAATCAAGTGAAATATCTTGAACTTCTGTTAAATGATAATAGAATGATAAAAGAATTTAAAACTTCCATAAAATCATTAATGTAATTGTTGATAAGTATGATAGAAACAAAATCTAATGCTATAACACAAGTATTAATTGTAAGGAACCAACTCCTCGAGGTGTCGTAGGCTAAAGGATCCCCGAAAGCATGACCAAAATGATAAAGAGTTCATCGGATGGGACCGAGTCCAAGACCGACTCGGAGACCGAGTTCGAGATAGAGTCCGGAATTGAGTCCGAGGTCGACTCGGAGACTAAGTTCGAGACCGAGTTTGAGATGGAGTCCGGGATCCGAAATTGGGTCCAAGACCGAGTCCGAGGTTGAGTCCGAGGTCGGGTCCGAGATCGGGTCCGAGATCGAGTCCGAGATCGAGTCCGAGACCGAATCCGAAGTCGGATCCGAGATCGAGCCAGAGACTAAGTCCGAGTACTAATATGGGTCAAGGGGTGAAAGCCCAAAGCGTGCATCTCCCAGGGGGGGGGGGCTGCAGGGGGTTCCAAAAGTATAGTAGGGATAGTGAGGTCTAGGAACCAGTCTTGAAGGAACTCTCCAGTGGTGCTTCCAAACTGACTTGAGGTTGAGACTAGGGCCGAGGGGCCTTGGGTGGGAGTGAGCATGGGCTTGGGTGGTGCCGGAGGGACCACCCAGGGAAGTGTTCAAGAGCAGCTCCCACTCCTGAAAGGGAAACCGACTGCGGTGCTCCCGACTCATGTGGAGTGGTGCCCCACTTGAGTACCTTGTGGCTCATTGGTCCTCGCCCTTCTTAGGGGCTTGGGCCTTCCCTTCAGGATGGAAGTGGGGGGGTAGAGGTATCCATACCGGGCCGTTAGGCCCCGGTGTTTCGCCCCGACGTCCTGAAGCAAGTGCTGCACCCAAGGCTTGGGATTTAGAGGGTCCCATGATCAAGTCTTGTTGTACCAAGGGGTGTTAGGAACCTGGAGGCTTGGTGTGCTTGGCTGTTTGTGCCTGCGGGGAGTGTAGCCGAACCTTAAGTCCAGTCTAACCTGGGGAGGGGGATTGGGAGAGATTTGGGAATCCGTAGATGGATGGCTAACACTCCGTTGCTTGTGCAGTGAGTAGCTGAAACCAAGTAGGACCAAGTAGGAGCTGGTACAATAGGCGAGAACCTTGGCAAGGGAACTTAGCACAAGCCAAGGCAGTGTTGGTCGCATAGACAAGGTAAGCTGGCAAATATTTGGTATCGGAGACTTTTCCTCAGTTCTAGCTAAGGATAGAGGCGGATTGTTGGGAGATGGCAAAGCCAGGGTGTAAGCGAACCCAGGTGGAGATGGAACCTCCACCAGAGCTGGAGCCTCCGGTCGAACAAGAGGCTATGGATGAGGAATCCTTGCATGAGGAGGACTCTAGTGAGGAAACTTCCAAACAGGAGTCCGGTGGCGAGGTTCGGTCGTCTAAGGCTCGATTGGACGTTCTAGAAAGACAATTGGCGCAGACCAATGCCCTGCTGGAGACTCTCGTATGCAAGCTAAAGTGTAATGAGAAGCAGAAGAAAAAGCGAAAGACTGCAGATGCTGGTGGCGCAGAAGGTGTGGACCCTTCGGCAGGGACTGAGGCAAAACCAAACAAAGTCGAACAGACCGAAGTGGAATCAGTCCCTCAGGCAGTTCCCAAGTACAAACCAAAGCCCCCACCGGTCTTCAAGGGAGTGAACGACTATAAGGTGGTGGAGGATTGGTTTTACGATATGGAGGACTACTTCCGAGCGTTGCGGTTACCGAGCTCAAAGAAGGTCCCATGTGCAAAACTATACTTGGCAGATAATGCCAAGTCTTGGTGGAGAATGACAGAGGCCAACGAAGGACCGGTGGCCACTTGGGAAATGATGAAGGCGAGGATCCGCGCGACTTACGTTCCTTCAAATGCTACCTTGCATTTAAGGGACGAGCTGAGTAGGCTAAAACAGACCGAAACCATTCAGGAGTATGTGAATGGGTTTATGGCAAAGAGGATACTTGTCATGGACATGGGGGATATGGATGTGTTCCATGCCTTCATATCAGGTTTGCAAACCTGGGCTCGCGGTGAGGTGATGCGGTGGAACCCAACCAACTACAAGGAAGCGTTGGATGCAGCCATCAAGGTGCATTTCAACGATAGCCTGCGAAAGGGGAACATGACGGGGTTGGGATCCACATTTAGCAAAGGGGCCAAACCAAGGGGAACATATAGCAAGGGGAAATTCAAGAAGAGTTTCTCTAAGAATGAGTCCTCGGGGTTCCGAAAAGGCAAATCCGGTGGCCAGCGAACGAGTACGTGGGGGAGTCAAGCGAAAAGAGACAAACCCACGGATAAAAAGGTCAAGTCGTATAGCAGCGTGGGAAACAACATATGCTACAACTGCGGTGAAGCAGGACACTTTTCGAGGGAATGTCCCTACCCGAAGAAGGCCAGAGCCAATATGGCCATCAAGTCGGGTGAAGTCCAAACTGAGGTATTTGATCCAGTCCCTAACTCAAAGTTACTCATTACACAAGCAACTTTGGTAGAGAGTCGTTCGCGACATCTGCTAGCCCTCCGAGGGAAGCTCGGAGGTAGCTTTGTTAAGATCCTTATTGACACGGGTGCTTCGGATAATTTTGTGGCTGCAGACATAGTCCGGCAAGCTAGACTAACGGTGCAGCGGCTAGGCAAACCAAGGACTATAGAGTTTGTTCAAGGTAGCCAAAGCACTGATGAGGTACTTTGACAAGCGAG